CCGAAAAAGGATATTTTGACGAATCTAACGGGACTAATTTATTTGCAATTGGATTACAAATAAGAACATAAATTAAATATTACTGACGAAAATACTTCATAATGATTTATTTACTTTTGAGAAGTGTGCCGAGGATAGGCATGATGCATAATATTTTGCAGTTATTTCGATCAAGTCTTCTTAGGAGAAGAAAACACTCACTCAGGTTATGACAGTGACATAAGCTTCCATTTAAAAATCTAGAACCGGAGCCATTTCCGGTGAAACCGGAAGTGACCGGAAAGTGAAAAATATGTGAAAATTGTCCTCTTCACATACCATTTACCTATACCAAATCTCATTTTGATATACCTAATGGTCTAGAAGTTATGACTTGTATTAGATTCGTTGACACCCGGTATAATACATCCTCATGAAATTTGGTACACGTCTTTTATGCATCAAGGTGCATTTTGTACACAAATTTTCGTTTTTTCTACCAGTGGCATTGTTACGGGAATATTATTGTTAATATTTTACTCAAAAGTAAGAAGGTCATCTTGTTGATACTCCATAGAACGCTTCGTTTCAGAGAAAAAACGGAAAAACGAGACCAGACTTCAAATTTTGATGTCTGAGTACTCCAGTCAGGACATCCATCACTGGATAATCACAGTATGTAACATTTTGAAATTTTCATACCAATTCTGTGACATAGCAGACTGAATTTCGTCACGAAAAGATACATAGTGGACAAAAAAAAATCCATGCATTATTAAGGGACACCCTGTATATGGTCTGCTAATGTTACCTTGACCCGTTTTCGACAAAATTTTTGCAGCACTACTGTTTGTAATATATTCTTGATTCAATCTTACTATTTCGTATTTTTTCTCTACGTAATAACCTATTTCAATTTAAAAACCGAAAAAGATGTAAAACATGTCTGTTTGTTTCCATGGCATTTCTGTTGTGTCCACAGCCATCTATAAATGTTATTGGCTACTATGATTCAATGCTAAATGGGAGAAAAATGGTAGGAGTCAAAATATAAAGAAATCATAATCATAGATTTATATACATCGTGTCCCACTTTAAATGATCCCCCTCTATATGTCAGCTATTAGTCGTGCGATTCTTACCAAATTTGGACAGGTGTGAATAATCATCCATATGATCAGGTTTTCAGAGACGAACATAATTTTGACCGTTCGTTTTAATCAATAGATCAACAAGAAATAGTGTTTAAGTAGGTATCTTTCTTCTTCTTCTTTCTTTCAAATCATCATTTTTCACCTACCGAAACTATTGAAAATTTCAAAATTTGCAGTTGATTAGAATTAACTATTCTTTTCAGGCGAAGAATGAGAAAAATGAAGCCAATCCTTTTGATTCGAAATGAGGTGATTTTTTGCATGTGTAGGTTCGGAAGCATAAGGAACGATTATATGCAATTACAGATAGATTGCTGATAAGATTTCATAGCAAATCGACCTCTTTTTATCTCAATAAAAATAAACGGGACTCACTGTCCAAAAGGATGTTGTTATCTGAAAAGCAGATCATATTGACGATAATTCATACTTCATACCTGTCCAAATTTGCACGACCCGACTATAATAGCTGAGATAGGGGGAGAGAACGTTTGAAATATTTGAATTGCTTAGGATAAATGACAAAAAAAAGATAAAAGTGTTATTCATTCATCAAGAGAATGGATAAATAGATAGAATAGTTCTATTTTGTTTCCTTAAATTTTTGTAAATCTATAGATCACTTCAATAATTCAGTGATTCTTTTTATTCATAAATTGAAATTCTAGATGATGATTCTGATGGCAATCATTTCCCCTCGTATTGAGATGAAATTGAAAAAGTGTAGGTACGCACCTGTGAATTGGGATTGGGTTTATATCAAACATCTTAATGATGCGAAAATCCTAATAACACTGCATTAGCGACATAAAAAGCAATGAAGTGCAGGTAATTATAGAATATAAATAATGCAAATTTCTGAGGCAAAGGCCAGCGTCAAGTTCAAGGGGTATGAAAGAAAACACGAATTTTTTCCATTGGTAAACCAACTGAAATAGACTAGTAAAAATTCGAAATACTTAAAGTGGGGGTGACAAAGATGAAGAAACTCAAAGTAATGACCACAATAAATTCATAAAATGGACGGAAATTGTGATATCATGATGGAATGAAAAGATCAGGAATCCCATTTTGTTTGATTGATTAAATGACGTAGGATAAATGAAAGAAGGAGACGGTTTCTATATAAATATGTCATGTATAATCTTCCATTAAATTGGACTACTTTCCTAAATATATCCCACGCAAAACATTGAATTACTCCTCCCGAAATCTTTGCAACGATTCGTATAGAGGAATACAGTTGCAAGTGTTTCTCCCCATTTCATTTTGAGTATTTTGGCATTTTCTAAGTTAGAGAAACGTCAGTCGGGCAATCAGCCACTCTCGTTTCATCCAAAATTGGAATTTCAGTCTTGAAGTATTTCTTTCCCTCTGCCCTAGACGGCGTTGTGTCAATTTCGCTGTGGTCGAACGCCTCGTGGGTATTAAAAGCTGAAAGTTTGTTACGTTGGGTCAGGTTTGCACCAGATGGCGGTCATGAATGCTATCTGGGGTCACCCCTGTACTGATGAGAGCCGAAGCTCGAAACCGGTTTGTAGGTAGTCGAGCGTTACTGAACTAATGAAGCACAACTCAGCATTTAGTTGCATAGATTTCGGAGGATGCAATTGCAGTTGTTTTTCTCCGTTATCTACCATTTTCGTTAATTTCATGAACTGTTTTGGTAATTACTTAGTTAGTTTCTCCCTCTTTGTCAAGTGAAAATGAAGCAAAATGTAGTAGGGAAGTGTAGAGTATAGGCATGCATTTCTGAGATGCGAAAAGATTAGGTCGAACTCAAATAAGAATATTGTTTAACGAACACGGAATGATAGTGATTCCCCACGAAATTAGCATTCCGGACAAGTTATACACTCCGGATGTAACAGATAACAGCGATAATTTTGATTTCTTCGTCTTGAAGCCATCTGCTTTCCTCTCAAGTAATGCTCATCTATTAGACAGAGCTGTCATTTGCTAAAATTTGACATTCCATGAGCAAAGAGATTTTTTTGAAATAATAACACAATGGAGTCATTGTGATATCAGATACAAAAAAAAAAAGACATACAAAGTACCTCATTGATGTATCGAACACAGTAAAACGAGAGCAATTTTTTGTTATAGCCGTAGAAAAAATAGTTTTTTCTACGGCTATAACACGAAATTCTGCTTGTTTTACTGTTTTCGATAAATCGATGAGGTACATTGTATGTTCACAATTCCATTTCCTTATCTGATATCACAATGACTTCATGTTATTATTTCACAATAAATCGCATCCCCCATGAAATGTCAAATCAATCAATGACAGCTCTGTCTTTTTGTAGTGAAATATCGAGAATATCAGATGGTTACAAGCCGAAGAATTAATAATCATCATCTGGTACAGCCGTAGAGTAACTTTAGTATATAACTCGCATGGAATGCTAATTTCCCACTCGTATGGTTTGCACCATGAGCCGTAGTCGCAATTATATTGTGGTTAGATAGTACGATTGTGATATATCGTTAAAAAGGTAATTCTATACTGAATCGTAATTTAAAAGAATACACTTTGTATTTGGAATAAAAAAAGCACCGGTCACACCGCAAGTGTCATATTTGGACTGAAATCAGAGAAATTATACACACAAGAAATCAAATGGAATGTAACGAAACATCCATTCAAAATAGCAACGGATTGGTACCGGACTAAAGTTCTTCTCAATCGCATTCCTCCGGTCGGGCTACAAACTATTATCATCGGGAATAAATGTGCCACTTTAGTCTGTGGGTTTAGAAATCAACTATAAGTTCTTACTGTAGCTTCATACTATACAGGGTGTAAATTTGAAAACTTCCAATGCGAATATCTCGCGAAAGAAAAATGTTAGAAAAACGCCGTTTGGCAAAAATGCTAAAGAGTTAAGGGGAACTAGAACCACCATATTTCGGTCAAGGGATGAGTCACCCCGTCGGCGCGATACACCCCAACTTTGAAATGTCAAATGACACTACCTTTTTTGTGATGCCTCAAATGAACAGTCTCAGTCAGTAGTATTCACATGTACAAGACTTTTTTTCCACCCACTACAGGGCGTACGAAAAATATAAAGTCGAATAAAATAAAATGAATTGTGTTAAAAGGATATTTTATTTGATCAGATGTTCAAAATGCATTCCATTCTGTTGTAAGCAATAGTATAATCGATGTTCAGATGCCATTCTAACATTTTGGAACACATCTCTTGGAATATATCGGCATTCTGCATTTTATTTTATTCGACTTTATGTTTTCCGTTCACCCTGTAGTGGGTGGAAAATAAGTCTTGTACAGGTGAATACTACTGACTGAGACCGTTCATTTGAGGTATCACAAAAGAGGTAGTGCCATTTGACATTTCAAAGATGGAGTGTGTCGCGCCGACGGGGTGAATCATCTCTTTACTGAAGTATGGTGGTTCTAGGTCCCCCTAACTCTGTAGCATTTGTGCCAAACGGCGTTTTCCTAACTGTTTTATTTAGCGAGATATTCGCATTGCAAGTTTTCAAATTTAGACCCTCGAATTAATGTTATTCGTACACCCTGTAGTGGGTGGAAAAAAAGTCTTGTACAGGTGAATACTACTGACTGAGACCGTTCATTTGAGGTATTACAAACGAGGTAGTGCCATTTGACATTTCAAAGTTGGGGTGTGTTGCGCTGACAGGGTGACTCGTCCCTTCACTGAAATATGGTGGTTGTAGTTCCCCTTAACTCTTTAGCATTTTTGCCAAGCGGCGTTTTTCTAACTTTTTTATTTCGCGAGATATTCGCATTGAAAGTTTTCAAATTTACACCCTTTATACCTGCTGTTGTTGAAGCTACCTAAGAAGCGCAAATTATGGACGAAGAGCACTTACCTTTCGAAGAAACCACAATTGCGAACACTTTGATACTAGTATCCATGAGGCCACAACAGATGGCAGTCAACTTTTTTAGAAGGAGCATAATATTATTCTGAAAATCCCGTAACCGATATTGCTCCGAAAACAATATATCCGACTCCGCGTAATACCAATGAACTAGTTCATATATCACTAAAATTTTAAACACGCTGTCGATTGGGATGATGCTCTCAATTTTGATTTTGATGAACTTGTGATTAGTTACACTCATAATAAGTATAACTTATGTTGAATCTCAGTGGCGCAGTTATGAGATGACTGGAATAAAAATAATGTTTTGTACTACCTAGGTAGCTCTGCTACCCTAAAGAAAGCTCTGATAAAAACTAAAAACTTATGGAGTTAACAGAAATGAAGTATTATTTTTTCTATGGCTATGACCAAACCAGTTCATTCTCAACCATTTTTTATAAAACAATGAGGTACATTGTATGTCCACAATGTTATTTTCTTACCTGATGAAACAATGACAATGGGCTTATATCACAAAAAAAAAATATTTCATAATTCGATAGAACTCACCCAAACTAGCTCACCACCGCAAACCGTTTCTTGCTGTGAGCTCCCTACGTTTTATAAAAAATCATTGAAATCCCCGATTTTTCGGACCTCTGAAAACGAGACGATGATGTGACGTCAAAACCCTAATACTGAAACAAGACTATTCTAGACAGAGATGAATGATACATGATTTCTGACAGAGTGAATTAGCGCGAGATCACAGTTGAAAGAATTAATATATCAGTTGCCTCAGTCTCCGTAGGGCGTTTGGTATTTTCTTTTTAACAATGGCGAGATGAGGTTTCTACGTCATGAGAGGGTCCGTTTTCAGAAGGTACTATTATTTATGCCCAAAAATAAAATATTCCAGTTAATTTTTCGATCAAATTATGACGTCAATCATTATTTATGTATATGTAGTAAACATTTTGATTTTCTTCTAATAAATAATTAGCGTATGATGAATTTATTATTTGTTTCAAGAAACTTATCTGATTTTCCGAATTTGGTATTTATGTTCGATGATGATACTCTATTGTTAGAGGCGCCTCTGAAGTATTTTGCATAAATAAACAAAATTCCCCATCATTTCATGCATTTTCATCCAACCAAAAATTTCACTTATCTTACTTCAGTTGACAAGCATAACCTGACCCGACCTCGAACTTTGTTTTATCTAAGTCTTGCGATATAATAAGAAGTTCAATAATTAGGTATTTATTTATATTTATATTCAGATTAGAAAGTGAATTGATCGAATTAGAAGTCTCGTGCAGGAAAGACCAGGAAGACATTTTATTCAATATTGACAAAATTATTTCTGACAATGTATTGAACTTTGAACATTATCCTTACCTACCGTACAAATAAAATGGCAGACAAAATATTCAACTTGAAATGTTGGTGTAGTTCCTATTTGACTTATTCCTAATGAATTCTAGTGCTTGTGAACATAAAAATTCTTGAGAAGGAATATTCTCAGATATAATTATGAACATAAAAAATGTATATATACAGGGTGTTTCAAAATTCAGTATCAAGATTTTAGGGGCGTATTTTTCAGGTCAAAATAAGACGTTTTTGTCCATAAACATGTGTCCGCAAACGCTTCGTTACCGATCTACAGAGCGTTAAAGTTTCAAGATTTTTTTATTTTTTTCTTCATAACTCTTTCAATTTTTGAGATATTAAGATCAAATTTGGAATGTAGGTTACGTTCTAGGGCTTACATCATCCAGCATGCCGAGTGATTATGAGAATCTACAGGGAGATATTTTTTTCAGGGGTCAAGCTCTTTTTTACCCCATAAACTTTTTTGTGGTGCGCCGCTGGTGAATTCTGAGATACGAAATGAATTCTTTGTTTTGTTTATAAATTTTTTTGTCTCTTGTAATTTTCACGCATCTGCGATCGTTATCGAGAAAAAAGTAAAATCAATTTTTGTGATTCGCTACATTTAATTAAAATTTTCAACGGAACAATGAAAAAGCGAATTAGTGGGCTTTGACTGCTATTTTCATTTTGACGTTTAGGTTTGTTTTGAAGCATTTGACATTATTTGAAAGTTGGTGGATGTCTCATCGTGTATTTGTTTAACTTTAACGCTCTGTAGATCGGTAACGAAGCGTTTGCGGACACATGTTCATGGACAAAAACGTCTATTTTGACCTGAAAAATACGCCCCTGAAATCTTGATACTGAATTTTGGAACACCCTGTATAGAGAAATACATTGAGAATTCGCATTCTCTATGTGATGAAAATACCAATTCTCTCTCGGTTTATTCAACAGAAAACAACTACTTTCCTGGCTATATGCCACGACGAACATTGAATTATATCTATTGAACACACATTATAAGAATTTGAAAACAAAATCTTCTGAAGTAGAGCATTTGCATTCTCCTTCATACAAATATATGCATATAATATCATTCTGAATATTCAACAGAAAACAACTACTTTCCTGGCTATTTGCCACGTCGAACATTGATTTATATCTGTTGAACATCCAAAAAGAGAGCATGAAAAATGAAAATCCTCGCTGAAATTGATTGAATTGAATTGAAAATATTATGATGTATTATGATATAAAAATATAACTTAACAATATGTTCAGTATTGAAATGAATATTGAAATGTATAGGAGAGGTATACTTGTATAAACTCTGATCTTGATGATCTTGGAACTTCAAAAAAAAATCATTCGTATCAGTGATATGGGAATTATATCTCCCACGAACAGGCTATGTGACTCCACTCGAATAAACTCATTTCGGATATCAAATCCTCATCAGTAACCTGAAGTCCAGTTATTCTTTCAGCCATTCTTTATGATATACACAATTTTCATCTCCCTACAATATAACTAAAACTATAACGAACTGACATCTGAGAATTATGATTTGTTAACATACTCCTGTCATCTGGCCATTTGTTTTCGCATGCATGATAAATTGATATTCATCTATTTTTCATATATTTTGGGGTTAATTATGAAGCCTCAGAAAGGCATGCCGTGCAAAATGGGAGAACGTCACCTTTCACCAGCTCCTGGTCTAAATAGATTATCGTTGGTAACAACACGATGTCCTGAATATTCTAGATAATTCTGTCACTTCAATGTTCACGACATTGTCTTGTCGAGCAACACAACGAGTCAGTCAGAACGAGTGGTATTGATGTACGGCAACACAATAGAGTTAACAATGAAAGACAGAATTATGAAACGATATTCAGAACAGAGTGGTATTTTGCTAGACTATTCCACGTTCACGAAGCATAAAACGCATTTACTATAAATAAGTGATTCATTCGGACAAGTACAGCCTTTATTATTTTATGCCAAACTGACAGACTTTGCTTCGCTATTGGTCAGAATATGTGAAGAGTGAAATGGTCAACATAATTAAGGAGCAAAAATATTTCTTCAGATTATTCTGCTTTCTCAGATTAAAAACGAGAAACGAGCACATCAAGCGTTTTGATTCCATGTACAGCTACAGGGTGAATGGATTATTGGATTTCCTCTAAAGGAATATCTGAACACGAAATTGTTCAGATTTGGTTAACGTCTCACAAATGATAAGTATCGGTGTTTATGATAATTTTGAAATTAGTACGTTCCTGTTAATCTGAATATTTCGTGAATAAAATAATAATGCATATTAATTCAGTTTTGGTCCCTGCAAAAAGTGGGGAATTCTTTTACGGAACTAATTAGCTTCTTCGCATTAATTTTCTCAAAATAACAGAATTGAAATAATGGTTAGTAATGAAAAAATATGAGGAATAATTAAGAATTAAATGCCGGATATTCAATTATGAAGAATGTAAAATTATTATTATTTTTTGATTCATTATATTCCTTGTCTACAAGGTGATTCAATTCAAACATCGAAAAACTAATACATACTGGGAATAAAGTTCTCGAATAAAAAATTCGAATAGAATTCAGGTAAGCAATTATCGTGCTCATAATTATCGAACTTATTTTTGATATGTTGTTTTTTTAAATCTTTAGGATTCAATAAGAAAATCAGTTGTTTCATATTTATGTGGGGCCATGAAAAACATAGGAATCACTACCTACCTTTAAGGATATAATTTTAAAAAATTCTAATTTTTCATTCAATATTTTTAAGATCAGATGAAAAAGGGAAACAGCTTGTTGCTTAGTATAAAAACAGCTCAGTCTGATGTATTATGAATTATCAATCATCCTGGAGAAATATGGACATAAAAACATAAAAAATAGTTATTTATTATACAAGGGAAAAAAGTAGTAGATTTTAGCTCCAGGTTGTGTTGTCTCCCGACGCGTAGCGGAGGGAGACAAAAAACCGTGAGCTAAAATCTAATATTTTTCCCGTGTATAATACACTATTTTTTTCTGTGACAGAAGGAAGGACGAATCAATATTGGGAAGATGCTACATTATTTCGAGATCTGAAAATTATCGACGTGAAATTTCAAGTATTTAACAGTAGGGACACCTGCGTTTTATAGACATCTTCATCATTCTTTTGAAGTAATCAAATATCTGATGTCACTTCTGTCAGTTCAATTCTGTGATTTGATTTTAAAAAATTGCGAATTCAGTAGTTGTTTAGTATAATATACGAAACCGCGAAGTCTAATGGAAGATAAAAGGACTTGCAGTTCTTTCTCGGAGACGGTATTATTGACTTATTTTTCGGAACTATAGCACAACAAAAGCCATTAACAGAGTATATATATGTGATATATATCCGGGAAAGAAGTACTCACTTTTTTCCCACGGGAAAAAAGTAATTTATGAAAAGTGACATTTTATAACCTGCCAACAGAGATGAAATGCCAAACTTTTTTCCCGTCACAGAAAAAAATCACTTGTATTTTGATGAACTTAACCGGATTTATCACGATAATGCTGAAGAAAAAAGCATGTTTTGACTACCGCGCTGGGAGGTGACGTAATGACTTTCGCTTAATTTGATGATTTATCATCAGCGTTGGTATATACAGGGTGTTTCAGTTTTTTGTAGCAGGACTTTAACAGCTTGAAGAAGACATTTTTTCATGAAAATGAAACAATAGATATTGAATGATTGTGACATAATATGAGGGGTGAATAAAATATTCCTACAGAAAAATAAGATATTAATGATCAGGAATGATCTTCCTTTCTACCTTCGATGAGTCATTGCTATAAAGGGCTTATATCACAAAAAAAATTTATTTCATAATTCGATAGAACTCACCCAAATTATCTCACCACTGCAAACCGTTTCTTGCTGTGAGCTCCCTACGTTTTATAAAAAATTATTGAAATGCCCGATTTTTCGGACCTCTGAAAACGAGGCGATTATGTGACGTCAAATCCCTAATACTGAAACGAGACTATTCCAGACAGAGATGAATGATACATGATTTCTGACAGAGTGAATCAGCGCGAGATCACAGTTGAAAGAATTAATATGTCAGTTACCTCAGTCTCCGTCGGGCGTATGGTATTTTCCTTGAACTTTTATAAAAAGATTGATGTAGTATAGATAAAATAATATAGTACCCTATAATCATGTTATATATCGTCCATCGATCGAATTAGATGTAGGTAAGTACAAAATTGGAATTGGCTCATCGCCATTGTTCAGTTCAACACTCTGTGGCTCCGAAACAAATCTTACTCATTGATAAACAAAGTGGCAAATCATTTATTCCTCGAAAAAAAAAATCACCCTGTATTCAGATGACTACATGAACATATAAATAGATATACTAACATAATCAACGAAGAGAAGTGAAACAAAGTGAAAAAGTATATCTACTCATTGCAAAAAATATTATTCTATATATTTATTTCCCAGCATAATTAAAAACCTGTATTGGAGAAACGACGAGTAAAATTCTGATTTCTCTATTTTTGCTAATTTCAACACAGGAATAAATCGTTTGCTGTCAAGATGAAGAATTCGATGATTAAATTGAGGATTACTCCTTGAGAATAATTTAATAGGTATTTGATTTCGCTGATGAAAACACGCAAAATTATTTTCGTCTTGGAGGAACATCGCATATGAAGGTATGTGAATAGCAGATAGTTTATGTGAAACTTTGAAGGAGAGAATGGCTTTTGATAATGGTAAAAAGTGTAAAGCAGGTAATGTCAAGTTAATTTTGAGTTTATGTTGATTTAATGTTGAGTTAATGTTGAATAATTATTGAGTTAATGTTAAGTCAATGTTAGGTTAATTTAAAGTTAATGTTGAGTTGATGTTGAGTTAATGTTAAGTTAATTTCAAGTTAATGTTAAGAAACTGTTAAATTTATGTTAAGTGAATGTTAAGTTGATGTTAAGTTAATGTTGAGTTAATGTTAAGTTCATATTAAGTTAATGTTAAGTTAACGTTGAACTAATGATGTCATTTAAATATTGAAGTAAAATTGAATAATAATGATAATGATATCACCTTCATGTGATCGAATATGATTAGAAACATGATCCCTACTCTGGTCTTATAAACAGTCATGACATATAATATGAATATTTGTGGTCGTAGGAAAAATAGTGTACAAAACTCGTTGGAAAGTGCATTTCCTGCGCTCGTTTCGTTTCCACACTCGCCGCTCTGCGGCTCGTGCTAAACGTCCACTCGAGCGAAATATGTCACTTTACACACTAGTTATGTAATATACTATTTCAATATACCTTTATTTCTCTTCTCCAAACTTTTCTCAATACAAATTGTCACTGACAAGCTAGTGATTTTCTTTAGGCTCTCTGATAGGAAAATTCTTCAAACCCAGTGACATATTGGGGCAAATTATCTGATTTGTCCTTACTACACGTATATTGAAATGATATTCATATTTTTATTTTATAGAAACGAGGAGAAAATCCCGAAAAATCACATTTATTGAACGAACAGGAACAACTGAAAAATCATTCAAAAACAAACCTACTACACCTTCAATACATTCTCCTTAAGCTGTACAGTTAGTAACCACAACGTGAAGTTATCCTCCCCTTCATTCTCATCAACAAACAAATTCGATACCAATTTGGACACCAAATTACCCAAACTGTCACACCTCACCACCACAGCAGTGCCTCTCTGCTCCTTACCCACCAGACTCCCCTCTACACCCCTCTCATGGGGATCAAAAAGGTAATAAAGCCCCCCTTTGAAGAACAAGCTCACCCATTGGTCACAGTAACTCAACAAGCAGTATTGCTCTTGCTGGAAGAAAATGTTCAACACCCTATTGACACTGGCTGTGGTGAACGCATCGCTGACGATGGGTTTGTAGATGGTCACGTGAACGACCATGTTCTTCAGGTAGAACTTCCTCAATACGTTCTCCATGCCTAGCTTCTTGTCTTTGGGGCCGTAGGCTATGTACGAGTCGACGTATAACTGATTACCAGTGTCCAGAATCAAGTCGATGTTTCTGTAGTTCCATGAGTCTATAGAGGTTAGGTGGTGCATGACTACGGCTGTTATGCAATTGGGGATGTCTTGGTTGTTTCTGGTTTCTTCGGAGTAGGAGTTTTGGCTCTTGTACCCTCTCAAGATGGCGTCTCCTCCGTGCATGTTCGAGTAACCTTTACGACCAATCAGCTGTTGGCGTTTGGCTGCCTTCTTCTTCCTTTCCATCTCGGCCTAGAAAAACATGTTGTTAGTTCGGAGCTGTTGTAGTGAAACTTGTGCTCACCATTTTCCTCAAGATTTTCTTTTCCTTGTTAGCCACCAACTTGGAACACCTCGGCAGTACCGTAATATCGCTCTTGGTGGGCACTTTTTTCATCTTCCTCTTGGTCCTTGTGTTTCCCACAAGTATTTCTACTGGCACTATGGTGAACTGCCCCATCCTATTTTCTGGCTCTAAGATGCAGCTGATGAAGTGATCGGCAGCCATTTTGGCGTTTACGAAAGACACCAGGCAAGCCGTTCCGGCAAAAACAGGCATGCCAGTAGGGCCTCTGGGATTTGGGTCGTACAGGTAGATCAGTGGTTCTCCATATTCTTGTTCGTCCTCCCAGATGGCTAGGGTGTAGACTTCTGTGACGATCAGGCCGTGGGTGTTCTCTTCAAAGAATTTCTCTATGCCTGAGATAAAAACAGTCAGTAGAGGACATACTTGGAGACAGAGGAAGTGCAACCAAGAAATGTTGAAGTAGCTCTGAGAGTAAGCAGTGAATACCAAAGCAGTTCAACTGGTGGCAGGAATAATCTATTCATCAAGCTCTGGAAAGGTTTTTGTGGGGATCAGGCCGTGGGTGTTCTTTTCAAAGAATGTCTAGATGCCTGAGAACAGGATAGTCAGTAGAAGACATTGACCTATAGGATCGCTAAAGCTAAAGGTGGAATGCAACCAAGAAATTTTGAAGTAGCTGTGACAGTAAGCGGTGAGAACAACTCATAGAGATTATCGATGAATTGGACTACACGTACAAGATGTTCTCACGTACCTTGTCTTAGGTTCAACACTGTCGGGTCCTTTGTGTCGATGATCCCTCTTTGGTCCAGAAGCCTCAACTCACAATTCGCTTCAAGCACTCCAATCTGGTAATCCTTCTTCACCTTATAAATATCCAGTTTGTCTTGCCACGGATCGAAATCATAGCCTAGCTCTCTGACGCTGTCTTCGTAGAGCACAGCTCCTAGCTCTACAATATCGTCTACGATGGGTTTAGACCAGGTTCTTGTTTTGTGGAGGCAGGTCATGGTTAGAGCTATGATGGCGATTGGGACACTCATGGTATTCGGTTCTTTGGCAAATTTCGGGTCTTCTTGGCTAATTGTACCTCTGACAATACTTTTACCTGGAAAAAATTTCAAATTGAATGCTGTCAAGGTTCAGGTGAGTCTCGAAATTACCTGGCATCACATCTTGAAAACCACCTGGATGTACGGTCTTTGGAGGTTCCACCAACACCTTTGGCTCCCTTTCTCTCGGGCATATACCTTTCTGCATATTCACACTGTGAATGTAGAATACATTCTTTCCATATTTGGATATGTTTTGTAGGAACGTGTCTGCCATCTTGGCCAAGTCAATGTATCTGGTGATGCAAGCTGTGCCAGTCGGTGACAAAATACCATTCGGGCCACGGTTCAGCCCATCGAACATGAAGTAGATTTTTTCACCGCGCCAAATAGCAACAGCAAGATCTAGAACAAAACGATTGATTGAGAATGTTTCCAAACATTAGAAAAGGGAATTTTAGACCTTTTGCTTGCAATATCCCATACTTATTCGCCTTGAAGAATTCCTCTAAGCCTCTCTGGACATCAAGAATGTCCTCAGAGCTTTGAGCTCCGATATCGCCAACTATCACTTCAGGCAGCACTTTAACGTCCACCATGAATTTGGATATGCATATCTTTTTCGGTACATCGCCGATGTTAAATTCTTCGTGCTGTATCAACCAATCAACTTCGTCTTCGGACAGTTTATTCTGCAAGTCCGATAGCAATTGTTTCTTCCTTAATCTTTTCACGTAGCTGAACAGTTTATCCCCATAGGATAGGATGGTGTCAACACTGAAGTCATTGAAGCAGACCATGGAGAAGATGAAAGCTATAGCTAGTGCTGCGTAGCACGTAGCAATTTCTTGCTTTCCACGGTTATGTAGAGGGAAGAATTCATTGAAAATAGTCATCGTTCCTGGAAAATTCGAGATATCCAGTTGCAATTCAATTAGTATCAATACCTATATATTTACCTCTCATGATCCATTTTCCATGTTCGGTTTCTAGGAAATCGTACCAGTCTCCGGCATACACGTCGTTCCTTTCATCGTCTGGTCTGAGTTTGTCCTTTATTTGTATGGAATTGTTGATCTTGACCGACTTGAGGGCGAAATCTTCTTCGTTGCCCACTTTGGGAGGGATTTTGTCAAAGACATGTTCGACTAGATCGTCCAATTTGGTGAACCACATAGTGCAAGCCCTACCACCCTTTTCTTTCTCCCTCCAGAAGGAAGCGCTCTTATGGACCATCGGAAAGTATACAATCTCACTTCCTTCATCAGAGAGGTCTCTGGAGAAAAAGTGTTATCGTTCTTAGAGCAATGTCTACCAATTGTCTTAGGTTACTTACTCTCCTTCCTGCTGATTAAGGAATTTAGTGGCAGCTTCACCTTCAGTGAATTTGTCAAAATCGGTCACATTGGTCGTTATTTCACCGTCCGTTGTCACATTATCTTCTTCACCATCGGCTTTCACTGGCACCTGTACCTGCAATATTTGAGGATATAATTTCCCGAATTCAAAACTCTAGAATTAACAAAGAGATCTGAGATTACTGCTCACATTTCTTTCAACTAGTTTCTTCACTTTTCCATCGTATTATGATTTATGTCTTTATCGGTATCAGTCTATCGATTAGCTCAATATCAATATCAATGAGGACAATACTGACCTTTGCTACTGAACGGTGTTTGTCAGGTTTGGGTAGCCTGAGTTCACTCCAATCCTCCATGCCGATAACATTTCCCTCCTTATCTCTCGGTTTGGGGTCGAATAGGTAAAATACTTTGTCGTCTCGCCATAACGCCACAGAGAGAGGTTTGGACTCTAAGATGGCTTCTCGATATGGATTATCGTCAGTCGGTTTCACTTCTAAGTAGGTCCTAAGAGCAGCTTTCAATTTCTCCCTGATATTACCTGTTGACGAAGAAATAATAATTGAGATTCTCATAGATAACTGATGAGCTCTTGAGGCTCTTGAACCCTGAAGATTATGTTCATTCCATTCGTGTAAGCATAAAAACGAATTTCAAGATAATATGGTGTTTGGTACCAAGACTCAATGTTGAATTAGCCTTTTTAGTAGGTATACCTTCATCTTCATCCGCAAACTCCAATTCAAATTTGTTCAAACCGATCATGAAGTCCTTCTTGACATTGGCCAGGGTAACCCGCCCATCGAATTCTTCTTCTGCTTCGTCACCCGCTACGCTTTCTCCTTGCCCTTCGCTTTCCTTTGGTGTCACTGCTTTTCCGGGAGTATTTTCTTTCTTGCTATCTCCCGCACCTCCATCATCGATAGATACTCCTTCTTGAGTCGCTGTTTCTGGTACTGGCTCAATTTCCCTCTGTAATATAAAGAGTATTCGAATTATCTTAAGGGATGTTTGGTGAAGTTGGTTATATAAGGTGGAGACTTTAACTTAAACATAAACTCTCGAGACACGTGAACGACCCAAAGTATTTAGCCAAGTACCTACATTTTACAAGCAATATGAAGAATATGCCTGTCAGGAGCAGTCAAAACCAGCCTCTATTTTTTTTTTCAAATGCAACCTTATATCTTGTAACCCTTTATTGGGAAAGCTGTTTGGAAGATGAATTCAGTGTACTGATCAAATTTAAGTTAGTAGGTTTGAGGGTTGAATGAAGTCAAGAAGGATTTTATGGTTTGATTCATCATCTATGTGACAATTCCTCAAAATGTGTACCATTCACTTGTTATGAAACATTTCCTGTGTTATTTTACTGATCCCCTCTCTTATATTTTCTTGCAGATCTGCTATGTTGTTGCGTTTTTCAGTGTCAACCTCACTTTTGCGATCACCCCCCGAAAGGAAATCCAGCGGTGTAAAATCGGGAGACCTTGCTGGCCACAAAATAGTACCTCGCCTTCCTATCCGTCAACTGAAAAAAATCGTGTCCAGATATTCCTTAATAAAGCAGCGCAGTCTGACGGGGTCTCATCTTGATGTAACCATAGCCTCTTTTTGGGTCAAGTAAGATTTGATGGATTTAGAAATAAATGGCATAGCAGTAGCATTAGTTCGAGCTGAAGAGGATGCTACAGTATCTTGCTTCATTAATAGTGTCATCAACGAAAAATAGCCCTGCAATTCAATATTTTCTTATTCCAGTCGCACTTAATTTCTTTTGTGGAGGCTGAGTATGAAGTTCCTGGGTCCACCCTACGTCTTTGGCAATTATTCCGTGAAAAATAAATCAAGCTTTGAAATCACGTTCTGATATTACGCAACGCTAAAACGTACTAAATACTAAAATTTTATCAGCTCGCTGATTGTTTCTTTTCGTCAGCTTTTCAATGAGGGGTTACAAGCCATAGGGTTGCATTTGAGAAGAACTTGTTTATGGTGGTATCAGCTACACTTGAAAGTCTATGTTCATTATATTGCTCACCAAATTTAGGTAGAAATATAAAAACGAGTAGGTACCTATCCTGGAGTTTTCAGAAACAATATTTACCTCCCTTCCCTGTATCTAAATGCACGTGCTTTCACTCATGTGTCGATAGATCATAATGAACTAGAATCTAGATGGATTGATATCTATTTATTGGAATCACGGAAAATATTGGAAAGAAAAGATGGATGAAGGACAATTTGTCAACATCAGCTCTTGCTGAAACCAAATCACCAGAGAATTCTTCAAACCCAGAAGGGTATATGTATCGTCGTCCAGTTAACAAACTATACAGTCTGTCCAAGATAAGGTTGAACAGCATGGGGATCTCGAAAACGGTAAGAGATACGAAATCGGTTAAATGGGGAAAAAGTTGCGCATTCGGAGGCTCATATCAAGAGCCTTCGAAAATTTTGAAAATTATTTTCAGTTTTTGAGTTATATGGTGATACCGTTTTTTTCATGCGACGTTTCGTATTCGTGGAACCATCATCAACTTTTGTTTTTTAAACACGGTCCTGATAATTTTTTCACAGATTCTGGAAGTTTTTTTTATTCTGAATTCAACCATGTATTATACAAGGTGGTTCATTTGTGTTTCGACCTATTTTTGGTCATCATCAATGTTTTTTCGAAACTCCAAAGGAAAAATGCCATCAGTTCCATTTATTTTGAAGGAAAATTAGTCAACACACTAATACCTCATCAACTGGTTTCAATCAACAACCCATTTCATTTTGCGGAAACAAAAATTCCATCCATACAAATTCAGAATATGTCAAGCGCTAAAACCAGGCGATGACGAAAAGGCGCAAGACATTCTGTGAGTGGTATACCAGGAAATGTTAAAATTTTGCAGATTTCTTTCGAACAATCATCTGGACTGATCAAAGCATGGTCACTAATCATGGTAGCTTCGATATAAAAAATACACATTATTGTTCACGAGAAAATGAACATTTATACATTACAGCGAGACACCAACACCGTTTCGGCTTTAATATGTGGGTTGCAATATTTGGTACACGAATTATTGTTCCTTCTATTTACCATGAAACACAGACTTCCGAACGTTATAGAAATTCGCTTGAGAATCATCTTGAGGAAGCTCTGGATGATTTACCGATTGCGGAAGTTCAGAACTGTTGGTTTCAACAAGATGGCGCTCTGGTACATAATTCCAGAGAAGTCCGTGCGTTTTTATCCTTTGGCCGTTGCGGTCGCCTGATTTGACACAGCTGGATTTTTTCTTAGGGGATATATCGAACTTTGTACACGCAAATAACTTTGATGATGAAGAAGAACTAAGGGACAGTGTCTTCGAAGCATTCAATAGAATAACCCCAGAAATGCTTAGCAATGTCTTAGAAGCAACTGTGAGAAGAGGATATCTTTGTTCAGAAAATAATGGTTATTATTTTGAACATTTGTTATGAATGTCTCTGTAGGTATTGTCAAAGTTAAGTTGTTAAAGTAATTCGTGTAAGAATTCATCAACAATTTTAAACGCTGCATTGATCGAATGATGTAGTGAAATATTTTTCATTCACTTTTCAGTATTGAATAACTAATCCATCAAGTTTGACACTAAATGATCAGAAATAAGTGGAACTGATGGCTTTTTTCTTTTGGAAGTTCGAAAAAACATTGATGATGGATAGAAATAGGTCGAAACACATTCGAATCACCTTGTATAGTACATTGTTGAATTCAAAATGAAAAAACCTTTCAGAATCTGTGAAAAAATTATCAGGACCGTATTTAAAAAACAAAAGTTGATGATGGTTCCACGAATACGAAACGTCGTTTAAAAAAATCGGTATCACCACGTTAAACCTCATCAAAAGTTGCAATGAAAAAGTATTTTCAGTTTTTCTGTATCTCTGATAATAACGGAGAAAAAAAATAAAATAGAAATTCCAAAAATTCACTTTTTTCGATATAACTCAAAAACTAAAAATAATTTTCAAAATTTTCGAAGGCTCTTGATATGAGCCTCCGAATGCGCAACTTTTTCCCCATTCAAGCGACTTCGTATCTCCTACCGTTTCCGAGATCCTCATGCTGTTCAACCTTATCTTGGACAGACTGTATATCGTTTAGACCTTATAGTCGCCATGGAATCCAAAGAATGATTGAATTCTGACCATAGACACTTCCAAGAAGGAAGAATTTGAGCGACGCTCAAGGTCCTAGACAAACTGGCCATACCTGTTCTTCCTTATCCATAATGTCGATCATGCTCTGTACGTAAAGACCATCCCCTTTATTCAGCACCTCGTCAAGGTCTTGTTTCGTCCAGTCTCGAGCAGGTTTCAACCTGTTGTATCCGAACGCAGCCAGACACATGGGGACCGTCTGTTTGCCGCAGTTGAGATCGTACTTGGCGGATATTTCACTGAATAGCGACCGCAAGATGGCGGTGCAATCGTCTATTTTCTTGTAATTGTTGAGGGGAGGGCGATAAGCGTCCCCGTCGCCCAATTGGAAGAACTTCAGGCGTACCAAGTGTACGTTGTAGGTGTTCTCTTTGCCCGGACTCAGGTTGGATTCGATCACGTCTGCCAGGTCGGCTAGGTTCGTTGTTCTCAGGACGCATGCCGTACCATAACCTAGAAGAGAGGTTTAGGATTCTGTGTGTATTATACATACAGGGTGTAAATTTGAAAACTTTCAATGCGAATATCTCGCGAAATAAAAAAGTTAGAAAAACGCCGCTTGGCAAAATGCAAAAGAGTCAAGGGGAACTAGAACCACCATATTTCAGTGGAGGGATGAGTCACCCTGTCAGCCTAACACACCCCAACTTTGAAATGTCAAATGGCACTACCTCTTTTGTGATACCTCAAATGAACGGTCTCAGTCAGTAGTATTCACCTGTACAAGACTTTTTTTCCACCCACTACAGGGTGTACGAAAAACATTAATTCGAGGGTCTTAATTTGAAAACTTTCAATGCGAATATCTCGCTAAATAAAACAGTTAGGAAAACGCCGTTTGGCACAAATGCTACAGAGTTAGGGGGAACTAGAACCACCATACTTCAGTGAAGGGATAAGTTACCCCGTCGGCGCGACACACTCCATCTTTGAAATGTCAAATGGCACTACCTCTTTTGTCATACCTCAAATGAACGGTCTCAGTCAGTAGTATTCACCTGTACAAGACTTATTTTCCACCCACTACAGGGTGAACGGAAAACATAAATTCGAATAAAATAAAATGCAGAATGCCGATATATTCCAAGAGATGTGTTCCAAAATGTTAGAATGGCATTTGAACATCGATTATACTATTGCTTACAACAGAATGGAATGCATTTTGAACATCTGATCAAATAAAATATCCTTTTAACCCAATTCATTTTATTTTATTCTACTTTATATTTTTCGTACACCCTGTAGTGGGTGGAAAAAAAGTCTTGTACAGGTGAATACTACTGACTGAGACTGTTCATTTGAGGCATCACAAAAAGGTAGTGCCATTTGACATTTCAAAGTTGGGGTGTGTCGCGCCGACGGGGTGACTCATCCCTTGACCGAAATATATGGTGGTTCTAGTTCCCCTTAACTCTTTAGCATTTTTGCCAAACGGCGTTTTTCTAACTTTTTTCTTTCGCGAGATATTCGCATTGGAAGTTTTCAAATTTACACCCTGTATAAGGTGTCCTGCAGATTGATGCATAACCTAGTAGCTGGAAATGTTAAGGTGGTCCTAAAGATATTATGCGAATGAAGATCTCTACGCCATCTTTTCATTTCTCGAGATACCTATAAATTTGATTACATTTTCAAATAATGCTACTGATTCGTTTAGGCTGCCAATAGAGATTTTGCTCCAAGTTGCCAACCTAGAAACCTCTACCACTGTAGAAGCAACATTATTGTTTTTATTGTTCATTGAGGAAATACCTTACAGTCAGAAATAACATTCTGGTATGAGGAAGTTGATTACAAAGAACAATAATAACAGAACATTAGGTAACAAAAAGAATTTAAAATATCTGAAAATGCTAAATCGATCAACTTATAAAAATAGCAACAGGAACTAATCAGTAGATGGCGAAGTATCCATTTCGTAATAAAACCATGTGTTTTTTTTTTAATTCAATTTTGAATTCTGAAGTATGTCTGCAATTTTTTATATTATGTGGCAATTTATTGAATTCAGCTAGAGCAGCGCGAGTAATTTTTTTTGGCCAATTATAAAAGTAGCAGAATCAAGATGAAATAAGTTTTATTGTCTCGTGTGATGACCATGCATTTCTGAGTTTCTTATCGAAACAAAATTATTATTATGATAATTTAAGAGGAGCTATTTTATACAATTCATCCAATGAACATTTTCCGGTTATCGCATACAGATCATCAGTTGGGATATCAAATGAGAGGCGATACAATACTTTCAGTGATTTCTTATAAAGTGCGGATATTTTACTGAAATAATTTTTTTTTCTCATCAAGTTTAGGATATCTACGCAAAGCTCCAATGATCGGATATATTTTTTGTATCAGAACCTCTATATGCGTCCCATTTCAATTTTCCATCAATCCACATACCAATATACTTCATTTGTGTGGTACTTCCCAATACTTCATTTTTAATTTGGAGATTGAGACTGATATTCTGTTTATTTTTCTGATGGAATATTATATATTCAGTTTTATTGGAAGTTTCATTACTTAAATAGCTTCATTTTGGTGATTTCTCATACACTAATTCATTCCATCATGTCATGATGTACTTTTCATGAGTTTTTCGTATTATTATTATTATTTTTGAATCTGTTGGTTATTTCAATAACTATAATTCAATTTAATAACGCATGAATAATCTCATACCAGATATGAATCTGTCTGATTATTCATGTTATTTCATGGTAAATGTTGATAAATATATTTTTCTGCAACCGACACAAAAGTCGTCCATTTTGATACCAAAATTAGCTCTTAAATTGACGTTTCTATTACTGACACAAAAATAGGTATGTTGCTAGGCAACATATTTAGTTCCTAGGAGCTGAAGTGGAATTTTAGTTCCTAGGAGCTAAAGTTGAACTTTAGCTCCTAGGAACTCAAAAGGATGTACTGTACGTCAACAAGAATAAACAACATTGTGACGGTTGGTTATTTGGGTTGAGAGGCATACATGATTTGTTTCCGATTTCAGCAGATTTGGCATTTCATACCCATGCTGGAGATATAAATACACCTTACTATAGTTCAGTATTGGAATTATAAACATCTCAGTTAAGTATTTTTGTTTTGATCAGGGAAGCCTTCAAGATTCAAAAACTTGCTTGATCTGTATTTCATTCGTAGTTCTCGGGATAACTTGTTTTTGAATAATCACGGCAAGCAATATAGTTTTTTTGTCTCAAACAGCGATATTGTTTAGCTTCATTTGATTATCAAGTCAGACACACATTATTAGTGCGATATTTGCCATTAGAGCACCTGGTTCATACACAAATATGTCACTCTGTGGTTGTATTTATGTTGAACCTACAATTCGAACATCCTTGAAAACCTAACCTACTGTTGATGCAGGTAGAATATTCTCACCACAGGGATTATTTGTCAATATTTGTTGCATTGCATATACATATGGCACGGCATTGGTGGTTACTTCACATGTTTATTTGAGTTATTTGTTTCGGTTGCAGAAAAAATAGCATGTTTCATTCGGATCAAAAGTGACTTTGTTCAACTCGCAAATTTTGCTTTCGCTCGGCTTCGCTAAACGCTCCGCCTCGCAAATGCAAAATTCGCTTGTCAAACAAAGTGTCACTTTTGATCCTAATAAAACAATCTACTATTATATATTATAGCTGAACGCAATCATAATACAAGGAGATAAAGCCAGAGCCTGAATGGTCATAGAGTTCCCCGAACATCTCATTTTACGCCCTCTAGAGAGTGAGGACACGCTTGTCATTTCTGACGAATTGTCATATCATTTTCCGATTTAAAACGTCAGTTCAGAAAATTGAATAGGCGTCTGCTCGAGAATAATTCCGAATATGTCCCGTTCGTTAACGAATTGCAAACATTTGGTCAACATTAATTTGAGTTGCCCAAATACAATTCTAATATATTCACTTCATGCAAATACATTCAATGACATAATATTGATTCTACTAAAAATGAGATGTTAGAGGCACTCTAAATGGTCTAAGCCCTAAGATTATCACACATGATGAATAATGAAACGTGAATGTAAAAGAAGTGAATCTCGAAATACTTGTTGCGAATCCATGTTCATCTCTGCTATGGCTGTCGAAATAGTAATAAACTTCATCTTTCTTCCAAACAGCTACCGAAATGTAGCGACACGTAACTATACCTGACTCCATGTCGAAAAATAACTCTTCTAGTCCCTGGAAGAATATATCTCAATGACTTTTTCTGGAATACTCGACTCTAGTACCTACTTTTCTGAGATCCTTATTATCGTTGGTGTTTTTAGCATTGAGCATGCCATTGATCATGCATTCATCTACCTCGAAATTCGCCTCCAAATCATGCATTTTGAAACTTTTATTGATCTCACTCATCATCAACATTCTGTTTTCGAATAAATTGTTTTTCGTTAATTGATCGACTGATTCCACGTACAATTGATCTCCTAGCTCAACAACCTGGAATTATTTTAAAGGTAGCAGACCATGCAGGACTTTGGCAGAAATCATGCAATTTTCACAAAGTTCGCATTCTAAAAAATACTTTTAGTCCTTGTGAAACTAAACTACGGACTCTATTCACCTCATTGACTGTATCACTTGACCAGTCTTTCAATGGTACCAACTCGTGTAATGCTAATAATGCCAGGCAACAAGCAGGACTCTGAAGGTTTCTGGACTTTCTATCAAATTGTTTATCGCTCTGGCTTATGGTACCTCTCAAAATCCATTTGGCGAGATTCACTCCTGAAAATATCGATTACCCACTGAACATTTCCTCTGAGAAAACAGTTTATTAAGGGTCCAGACTTTTACCTTTGAAGTTATACCAAGGATCAGGGATATCAACATAATCGTTTATTTGGACTTTGCTGAGATAAAAGGGATCCAATCTCTTTGTTTTCTCCACATTCCTCATATAAACGTCTACCAAGTCTTTCAGATCTGCGAACCACATGAGGCAAGCAGTTCCTGGTAACAGCTCCATTGGAATCAAATTTGTGCCATAGACAGTATTATTCGATATAGACAAACCATTTTTATCCCTAGAAGAATAATAACGATAGTAGCAGTAATTTCGATAGAGCTGTTAGAGCTATTCCTAATCACCTCTCATTGGGATCGAACATGTAATATCTTCCATCTTCCACCCAAACGGCCAACGTGATTGGACCCAAGATAACGCAGCAATCGTTGTCTACCAAAAAACTTTCCAGAGCTGGATGCAAATCCAAAACTTCGAAATCTTGGGATAGGAGTTTCCCTACTACGACATAATCATCGATAACGGGTAGGAATTTTCTTGCTTCGTACTCAGTTTTTCTTTGGAAATTGGAGAGCTTCAAGCTTTGCGTTCTGGGGATGGTTATCATCGCGTCTCTGTATAGAAGATCGCCGTATTTCAGGACCGTGTTCAGGATTTTGGGCACCCACACCCTGGATTTGAAGAATCTCAGCATGATTAAAGCAGATATAGCGTTTCCCATGCTTTGGCGTCCAAGATATTTCGACAAATTCGGGTCTGTTTGGCATGTCGAGGCTCTCAAGATACCAATTTTCTTCGGCACGAGCTCTTAAAAAACAAATTGGGATCGTGATATTTCCTATATATGCGTTGTGATAAATCATACCTGAATAAAATGTTAATTTTTGTGGTACCACCTTATGGGGTATAGGAAATTTGCAGACGTCCATTTTGTTGACCGATTCTTGCAGCCAAGAAGGCCGCTTGGTCAAAGATAAAGAATCACCAACATCCGGTGATAATTCTTGTAGCTTGATTTTCATCGAACCAACGTCTTCATTATCTTCGTCTATATAAGCTTTGAGTTTATCTTCCAAGATGTCCACAGCTTTAGCTTCTAGAACAACAAATAAACTGACAATTGTTCCAAATATAATGTTAGTTCGGTACCTTTGATATCTGCTAGATCTACTTCATTGATAGAAGTATCTTCAGCAGGCGCTAGTTCTTCAAATGTGTTGGGAGGTACGGTTTGGACATGGATTATTCTTTGAATGGTACAACCTAATATTTCGAACTTTGAATTCGGTACCTTGGTCTCCATATTATTGTAAATAGTGTCTACGAGATCTCTCAGAGTCTTGCATCGACAAAGCAAAGAGAAACCATATCCAGGTACTCCCGTCCATGGTTGACCGTTATCTTCATGTTCCATAGGATCGAACAGGTAATAGAAATCATCCTGAATCCAGATGGCTAAGCATTTCTCTGATAAGGTGAAAATACCAGAAGGGAATTGTTTGAAGAACTTCGTTCCTGCTTCTTCAAACATCTTCTTGGTTTTCAGTTCAGATATTGTATGCAATTTCTCAACTATTTTGTCTTTGTTATCGATGTCGAAGGAAATCTTCCTTTTGCCCAAGAAGAAAGAGTTGAATACTCTTTCGGGTGGAACCGAAACCAGACATTTTTCGCTTGGTTGTTGAACTGTCTTTGAGTATAAGGCGTCGCCCATGTCTAGGATCCTATCAAGGTAGTTCCTATCCCAGGTGGCCATTTTGTATAAGTGGGCGAAGATACAAGCCACAGCGCAGTTACAAGCACCTGAAAATTCCGAAATTATCACGATACAAAATTCAAACTATGGTCATGAAAGTGAATGAAGAGTCGAAAAATGAAAACCAATTGATGAATAGGTCGTTTAAAAATGAATTATCATGTTTAGAACAAAAACAAAATCGTTCTACTTATATAGACTATGGAAACTTATAACCTTGGAGTCCATTAGTTTTGAAGGTATACTTCCTGTGAGTCTGGCTGAAATGACCAACAAGTAATGCGGTATTCCCAACAATTTCATACTTGTGCCAGACTCTTTTCAGACTGGAGGTTTGTAGCTTCTGAGTTATTCCTTCTGGTTTAGTATAAGCTGGTTGAGGTTTCGCTTTTTTTGGTCTCTGATCTGGAGGAATCCATTTTCTAGTTGGAACAGGGGGATATTCGATTTTGGGCCTAGGATTCGGCTTCTTTTTTGGCTTGCGTATTTTCTTTATTGCTCTTAAAAATTCAAGATGCTCAATCTATTGGGAGTCTTTAGTAGTATGAGAGAGATACCTACCCCATTTTATGTATTATGGATTTCACTTGAATTTTGAGGGTGAAATTACAAGACAACTAGAATATGTCAAATGAAATTTTCTGTTTTGACAACAGCAGTATTTTGGCAAAAGTAAATTTTCGAATGCGTCAGATTTTGGCAGCAAAATTCTAAGAGTACACAATAAATTATAAAGTGAAGCTAAATTCTTGTTGGTAAAATGGTTGAAGAAAAAGAATCAGATCAGGAAAATCCCCAGCGGAAAAGTGTATCAGCAGAAGGAAGAAAGGAGAGTCAAAGGATATCGGTGTCCCAAAATAGACCCCCAATCTCGGATACTTCCAATCCTATCAAAAAAGATCCAGTCAGTGAACAGAAGAAAAAAGATGAGAAAGATATGAGAAAAACGCAAGTCATACCACAAAAAGAGAGCAATCTAAGTACTCAGATTAAACCAACCCTCAGGTAATTTTCATTTCTTCTAGCTACCTCTATACTATTTCATCTATACTGAACGAAATGATATATTTCCCCTGATCTAAGTTAATGGCAGAGTGTCAATACATTCTAGAATATTTCGCCTCCTCTAAAGATAATTATTTCTTTTAGTTTTTCAAACTAAATTTGTTTCCCACAATTCTTCTGAGTAGGAGATATCATAATCACTTCTCTACAGAATGTCAGGATTTTGCGCTTTCGAAATGTGTTCGAAAAATCAAATCTCAGAAAACTGTTGACTGTTTTATTTTAGTAAGAGGATAGATCTGAAGTTTGTGGATGATGGTACTTATAAGGAAGGGGAACCTAGATCAAAGTATGTGGTACCAAGGACTAAGAGACAACAAAGATATTACGAGAAGAACAGAGCAAATACTGCTAAGAAATTTTGCAAATATAGTTCGTCAAAAGTACCAAAACCGCAACCGGATAGAAAAATGGATTTGAAGGTTGGTCTCAGATTGTTTTATACAAAAACTCAATTTGTTTCAATATTACTTGGTATATTCTTATTCCAGATTGAAGTACCATCTCCAGAACCAAGTCAGGCAAAAGTAACACCAAGGAGGGTTACTCCTACTGCTAGTATGCTCTATCCCTATCCCCAAACTGACTCAGAACTGAAAATCAAAAAACCGAAGAGCGGAATCATAATCAATGAAAAAGAAGCTGAGGGGCATGATTCTGACGATGATTATGACAGCTTCGATCTTGTTTTCTCGAGAAAACCTAGACCGTGAGTATCAAAAACTAATGTATCATCTTTATGCCCATTCAAATCGATTTTTAGAAAATCTTCTTCGAGAAAAAGATCTAAATCGAGAAAACACGATGGACTAGAAGACATTGTGGAAGATGAGGAAGAAGCAGATGGAACTAGAGAGAAGAAGAAGAAAAAGAAGAAAGGCAAACAGAAAAAATGTGGAATGGAAGAGACAGCAGAGGGAGAAGCAGAAGAAGCAGAAGCCGATGAAAAAGCGGATTATCTGACGAAACAATTCAGAAGAAAAGTTTCTCAGGTACAACGAAAACTGCTGAAGTAATCAAGACTCCTCATTGCTTGACGGATTTCCTTGTTTTTCAGATGTCAGCTGCAACATCGTATCACAGCCAACTCATCGAGCCATCCGAACAAGAGATGGTGGGTGAACCGGCTTTCAGCAAATATGTTCAAAAATTCCGAAGGGAATCTGAGATGCAGCGATACCAGCCGATAAGAAGGAAAGTGAAGAGAGGGACTTTGGAAAGCCACTCTTTCACTGATATCAATCAAGTAGTACTCAAAGATTTTTTCTTTGGTTCCAAGGAAGGAACGATGCATCAAGGTAGGTACGATATGAAAATTCAAAACTGAACAAAACCAGGAAATATATTTCTTGAGATTATATAAAGGTATTTACAAAAACTAACCACATATTCCTCAGATCAAAACATTATAGGAACACCAGAAAAAAGTCACCTAAGTATAAAGATGCTTATTTTGGGCGCTAGACGTTCTGAAGTTACTATTTTCAAATCGTTTTTGCTCCATAACTTTGAAAGGGCTCAAGAGATCACACTCGAATTTGGTACGTTAACATAGCTTCATTGAGCAATGAAACCGATATCATGATTAGAATGAATATTATGAGCGTGGCGTTAGAACAGTAAACAAACATCTAAAACTTTTACGCCAATGGAAAGGAAGGAGTTTGAATATGAAATTTGGATTGTGTAACTTGTTTCTTACAAAAGAGGTAATTCTGATACAATGCGATTACTCTCATAGCTCATAGTTTCAAGAGAATTTGAATTTCAGTAATTCAAAGCATCAGTTAAGTATTTTTCCCTACCATGTAATGACGTAGAGGCGCCTCCATCATGTCACGATTAAATAGATGGTTAGTCCATCCATATCGATTTATAAGATGTTAGCTAATAGTTAGCGAGAGGAAGAATTCATGATTGGTTCACACATTATTTGACAAATAGAAAGCAGTATGTTGAAGTGAATGATCTTTCTGGCTCACTAAAGAATATTACATGTGGAGTACCGCAAGGATCAGTTCTGGGACCAATTTTATTTTTAATTTATATTAATTCAATATCAACTCTGAAATTGGAAGGAAAGCTAAAATTATTTGCGGATGATACAACATTGATTTATATATCGAATGAAATAAATGATATCGAACGGGATATAATAAGTGATTTGGAAAACATATCATCTTGGATGCAAATTCATAAGTTGACTCTTAATTATAACAAATCTTCATATATGTATATTTCCAAAAGATCAGTTAATATTTCGAATAATGCTATAACTTTCAACAATGGATTAATTAAATATACAGACGTGACAAAATTTTTAGGTCTCTATATCGACGACAAATTATTATGGACTAAAAATATAGACCATTTGAGAAATAAAATAAATCCGATCATAGGCATTTTATTCAAAATCCGAAATATTATTCCCATTAAATACTTGAAATGTATTTACTTTTGCCTCATTTATTCAAATTTGCAATATTTGATTTCTATTTGGGGGAGTACAAATATTTCACGTCTGATACCACTAATGAAATTACAAAACAAATCAATTAAGTGCATTTTTCATCAACATTTTCTAGATTCAACGATAAATTTATACAAACCAAGACATTTTCTGAACCTGATTTCGTTATATAAACTTAAAATATGTTGCTTCATTCATTTTGCCAGGAATAAATTTAAAATATCAAATTTAGCTTTCAATGAAGTCAATACAGTCCATAATTATGGGACTAGACAATTGAATTACTTGATAGCAAATACATTCAAGTCAAACATTGGCAAACAATCTGTTTTTCACAATGGAATAATTTTATATAATTCATTACCGAATGAGTTGAAAAATATACATGATGCAAGAAGGTTTAAAATCAATCTTCAAAAATACTTGCTAAGGACAATTTGAATGAAAAATATGTGGCATGATTTGATTACTTAGGAATGAAATATAACTTTAATCTTATAAGTCACAATATTAATTCGTTTCCACTGAGTGGAATTCATTATAGTTAACCCTTTATTATTTTTTTATATGTATTTATGTATCCCTATCATAAACAGAAATGTTTCTTGGGGTAATAAAGACAATTAAGCAAAAATAGTAACGTAGGTATTTTTTTGCATGCAGTAAATAAACTGAATAATCCAGATTTCATATTGAAAGCAATTTTTCTCCATTGGCGTAGGAATTTACTTAAGTGCTGTCTAGTGCTCAAAAATGCTCAAACTAAGCAACATTGTACTGAGGTAAGTTTGCTGTATCGAATGTTTTGGTCTGAGGAAATCATTCGTTTTTTGAAAATGCCTTTTTGAGATATTATTCTCCTGTATAACTGTAATTTTAAGGTGACCCTAGTTTTGCACCATCTGTGAGAAACATCCAAGGATTGTGTATGCCCGTGGCAGCGTACTGTTATTCGATACTAAAACACCCCAATAAATGGACCAGGGAAAACATCGACGAAATCCTGGGATATGGCAACGACTTATTTTCACAAAGTGCCAGAGTTGCGCATATCCACAATTTGTCGAAGCTGTTGGAATTCAATGAATTGCAAAAGTATTGCATTATAGGTACATTTTGAAGACTTTAAAAGTTATTTCATCAGGCATTCGTGTTTTTTTGGTTCATTTCAGCAGATTTCAACTATTTCTACGTTAGGTTCAAATAATTTTTCAGTACACCTTTTCATGTTCAGGCTATCATAGAAAAGAATGCACTTCTCACCAAACACAGTTACATAACAGAGATATCGCAGCGATGTAACTATTGTGACCTTTGATATCGCATTAAATGCCACATAGACGTCGCTGCGATGTCAGAAAGATGTTATTTTGTCCCACTCAAGTTTCATCCATACGACGTCGGTGCGATAAGTTCTCTGCGGTATAACAACGATTTATTTTGTGCAATGTGACTGTGATATTTTATTTGTGATGAAAAAGCAATATGTTTTTGATTGTCTTTATTACCCCAAGAAACATTATTGTTTATAATAGGGATATATACAACAAAACATACATATAAAACATAATAAATCGAAACAATAATAATTGCACAATTATTGTTTTTCCTAAAAAAAAAGAATTATAATAAAATATAAAATGAAAATATCATAATCCATTACAAGTAATCAAATTGTGAATGATTAGTACTATTAAAGTTTACTGAGCAGATATTTCTTTAATTTCATTTTAAATTTTTCTGCTTCTATATTTTTCAACTCATTATGTAAGGAGTTATACAAAATTATTCCATTATGGAATATTGATTGTTTACCAAAATTTGACTCATAATTATTTGCTATCAATAAATTGAATTGCCTTGTTTCATGGGCGTGAATCGTATTAACTTCATTAAAATTCAAATTCGACATTTTCAATTCCTTCCTGACAAAATGAATAAAACAACAAATTTTGAGTTCATATAATGAAACTAGATTCAGCAAGTCTTTAGGTTTGTATAGAGTCGCAGTTGATTCTAAAAAAGGTAAATTGAAAAGGCAGGAATGAAATTTCGAATTTTATATATAATAAGTCCACGATAGTTGTTCATCTATATATAGACCGTTGTTCTTTTTGAGATGTGCATATACGAAGATTTATCATAATTAAGAGTCAACTTATTGCTCGTTAGCCAAGATGATATTTGTTTCAAATCATTTTTAATATCATTATTGATATCGTTGAAATCTTTTGAAGTATAGATTATTGTTGTATCATCTGCAATTAATTTTAGTTTTCCTTTCAGTTTTAATGTAGATATTGAGTTGATATAGATTTAAAATAAAATTGGCCCCAAACCTGATCCTTGCGGTACACCACATGTAATATTTATCAAGGAACTACAAGTATTATTCAAATCAACATACTGTTTCCTATTTTTCAAATAATTTTGGAACCAATCATGAATTTTGCCTCTGACACTTATTGATGATAATTTAGTCAATAAAATATTATGATTTACAGTGTCAAAGGCCTTACAGAGATCCAGAGACAGAATGCCGCATTTGTCATTGTCATCTATTCGTAACTGAATATCTGAAATGACATCCATCACAGCTACCTCTGTGTCTTTTGACCTACGAAATCCATATTGTTTACTAAACAATAGGCCATTATTTTCAAGATAATTTATCAGTCGGTTATTCATAATTTTTTCTAAAATTTTGGAAAAGATCGGGAGAACAGAAATTGGTCTATAATTATTTAAATCATCTGTCTTCCCATTTTTGTGAATTGGTAATACTTTAGCAATTTTCATTTTGTCAGGAATAATACCAGTTTTGAGCGATTTGGAAATTATGTTTAACAAAATAGGAGCTAACTCAAATTTGATTACTTTTACAATCTTAACAGTAATATAATCAAATCCACAGCATTTTCGAACATCCAGATTATCAATGATATTCTCAATTTCTGAAATATTCGTGGGAATTAGGTACATAGATAGAACACTTGAGCAATCTTTCTCCCATTTCATAGGCGAGAAGAAAATCCGTTTCACTGTAGACGATCCCGAAGTGGCAGGCTACATCCGATCCGACGACAAAAAAGTCTACAACCTCACCAAGGCCCTAAGAATCTTCTTCTCTCGCAACACGGCCGGTATTCTCAAGACTCAAGACATCTGCATCGGTGTTTGGAAGCATAAGTACTTCTACATGTTCGATGCCAGACCGAGGACGAGGGATTTGTTTTGCTCGCCTTCTGGCACTGCCATCATGGCCAACTTCTACGACGTTTCAGCCCTGGCCACCGTCTTCCTCGCCAGGTCTTCATCTATTTATTATTTATTAATCATTCCAGAATCACGTCATTTGACAGGTTACTGAGGGGCCAACATAGGTCGCGTGCAAGAACTGTCAGAAGACCGACCCTGGAGGCAAAACATATTTGTTTACAAGTGATCGAAATAGTTTTCCACAATTATTTTGGCATATGAATCGTATTTTTCCGCTATTCATCAATTCGCTAATGCCATCACATTGTGCTGTTGTAAAATGCACGAAAACTGCAGCGGAAGATGAAGAAATCCGGATGGTACATTATGATTCAAAAGTAAGTACCTACTATAGTCACTCACATAGTTTTCATTTTTGAAATTTGGTTATTTCTCTGATTTCTCATCGGAATTCCTTCTGCAATAGGATCAGCTAATAGAAATATACCTGAAATTTCTAGAATAATGCAATAATGCTGACGATCGTGTGTGTTGTAGACATTTTCAATCTATTAGCAGCATTAGCTTGTATTGCAGAAGTGGCAGAAGGCAGAAGGAATTTTAATAAGAAATGACAACATTTCATGATGCTAACTATGTGAGATTACTATTTATCTGAAGAATCATATTCCCTAGTCACTTACTACGTTTTTTGTGCATTGTACAACAGCACAATGCGAAGGCATGCTTGAATTAATGAATAACGCAAGAAACACGATTCGTATGCCAAAATATTGTGAAGAACTATTTCAACCTTTTGATTCCTCTGTAACCAAATAAAAAAGTGAGGTTGTGTTTCAATAATTCACAGAAGATTGAGGTTGTGTTTCAATATTTTGCCTCCAGGGTCGGTCTTCGTGCACGCGACCTATTGTATTTTGTCAAGATTTTTTATATGAAATATATTAGTTGGATCGTTTTCCTTGGAATCCGAGTTGGAGCCAGAAAGAATTTCATAATTATGTTTGGTGAAACTGTTATTATATTGTGGATATGGCAGGGAATGCTCATCGAAGGTAACCTAACAGATGGTTTGTGTGCCCCTCAAGAAACCATTTCAAAATCACGTGTTCTGGAATGGTCAATTCATGTATTCATTTGTTTCAGTTGTTGCATCATATCTTCCAGTATTACAAATTTCATACAAATACATGCAAAGTGGTTCAACTAAGATTATTCACCTAGCTCCATATCTTTTTGGGAGTTCGAAGCGATTTAATCATTATGACTAATCGATCATAAAATACAATAAAATACGTGAAATCAATGAGTTGGAAATGGGAAAGTTACCTATATTGAGGTTTTTATCTGACTGTGAAGTTTGTAAAGAAATAATACATACGTATTTTTTCTTTTTTTCGTAAGGTCAAATTTCACTTCAGAAAAAAATAAATAAAAGAGGAACATGGCTCCTCCACCATTCCTTTGCATATACGTATTAATAATCAATACGGATAATCTCTATCTGTTTCCATAGCGAAACATGAAGCCGATTTTTGAAGACAAATGACTATCCATAAGGAAAAGTTTTGAAACGATCAGACACATACTGCTTTGATTGAAAGGCTAGTAAACGTCATTGTCTACCGAAACGCATGTCTTTGGTGACTACTATAATAGCGCATGGCGCATGCGTATCATGCCACCAAATCCTTATGGATATTCATTTGTTTCATATTTTTGGCTTCATCCTGGCACCCGTTATGATCCGTATTGTTTATTAATACGTATATGTTCCTTTGACGTACTTTTTGAAAATCCACATTCACCCAGAGTTAAAATACGATTCCCTGTGCCAGTACGACGTTGCCGACATCATCAATATATGTCTAGAATTCCGGAAATTGTTCTTTGAATGCATAATAACTATATTATAACAGCAATGGGATATAATAGGTTCTTCAATCCTACTTTGTCAAGTATTATGAATAATTCCCAGAAATCTCTCATTGGCTGAATGAAGTTGATTACTAATAAAGATAAATTATGATATTTTGCGATAGTATCTATAATTTTTCACTATCGTTATATTACAATATTCATAACTTGCATTTTTTTGCTAATGAATTCGTTCCTTGATAAAATGGATCTATTTTCTAGTAAAGTTGCAGATTATATCTAGCAACAGCGCCTTATACTTCGAGTCCGTACACACCACTCAAAATACTGACAGGAACAAGAAGGAGCCATGGGTGTCGGCTTCATTCTGTTCTGACCGATGGCAGGAAGTTAGGAAATATAATATCATTGAATGTAGCCGATAGTGATTCATTGATTCAATTATATTTTCGTTTAGGATCGAGCTCTATTCGAGATATTTCAATGCATTAATAACAAAACCATAACCTGTCAGAATGAAGCCTCCCACCTTCTGCATTCCTGCTCCGAGTGCATTTGTGGTTATGTATGTTTTTGTTTTCCAGTTTTACTTCAATTTTTTTCATTCATTTTTCGAAAAAGTCGAAAAATCTCGATTCTGAACACCATATATCTCTGTTATCATCTACGATAGAACCCAAGTGTCATATATCGATGAAATCAGCTCATTAGGGAGAGAAATTTCGTTGAAACTATCTCAATTCGACGGAGTATATTTGAATAGATGCATGCACAAAGTTCAGTACATCTTCTTGAAGCACCAATAATGAGGGATATTTATTTTTTCCTCTGAGGATGTCAATATGCTCTTACCATCATCAATCAATTCTCATCAATCCAAATATCAAGGTAATATTTGACATTTACCAGTTCGTTTCACACGTCAAGATTTTATTCTAATAATATAATCAGATCAATATCTTGTTTATTTCAATTGTGAAAAGTTTCAGTTATATTGAGTCTTATTAGAATTAACAGAAAGAAGATCCCAGCCAACCATGAGATGTATAAGTGATGTATACGCTACATCACTTTGTGACATGCGATATCTAATTTGAAGTCACAAACATGTTACCGATACAACGTGGCGATGTGAAAATGTCCGACTCAAGCAACATCACTGTGACGTCGTTCAGACATGAAATGCGACATCACATGCAAAATCACTACCAGGTCACATACAAGTGTACATTTCATATTACAAATACATCACACTGCGACATCGATGATGTGGTCGCCGTACCTGTGATATTCGTGGGATATATAATAATAATAATCATTCAACTTTACGAAGAAAATGTTTATTTTCCGAAAGTAAAAACAGATGATACAAAACTTATCATGACAATCACCCTAATTAGTAATCTTGAAGTAGAACATGACACATATATATAGCAATACAATAAAAATATACATTATTCATAAATGATATATATCAAATACACTTACATTATCTTGGGATCTTTCATCCACCTTGTTTTAGATTGCAATATTCCTATCTCAGAGGTAATCACAATATTACCTATTGTGATTGAACTCACGACCGTCGTTCCTAAATGATTGTATACCTCCAATTTGAAGCTGCTATAATATGTGTGCTATAAATCATCTCAGATATTTCAACAGAGAATTTGGAAGGAAATAGTCTGTACGGAGTCGGACTCATTCACTGACTGACATGGCCATGCACAGCTCAACATGGCGTCTGGCGTGTGCGTTCGTTTTGCGCATGTCTGCGTCACACTCAGGTCACAAAGATATCTCATGAGGATATCAATGTGAATTATTTAGTTAACGTCAAAGAGATGTAGTTTGAAGAAGTCGCTGCAACATTACATAGTTTCCTGGTCGCGATGTCACCTTGCGACGTTGATATCGAATCTACGTCGATAAGATTTGTTAACGAGATATTGCATTTATGCAAGGTTGTTACATCACACGATGGTTGGCTGGGATTGGATTAGAGCTACTTCTCAATTTTTTCAAGTCCTGATTTATGATGAATGTCTTAGGTCCAACTTCGGCAACTGGCCATTCGTCATCTATCCCCTGAAGGCGTTGAAGGTGCTCAATAGGGATGATCCAGAAGTGGATTCCAATGCCGCCTTGGATGTTGCTAGCGAGTACAATATTTTGAACGCGAATAAGGCTGTGGTATTGGCGTCGTTAGATCTGGCAGATAAGTGTTTCGATTTCAGCAGGAACAAGCAGTCTCTGGCCATGGCTGTGGTTTGTTTGGTAAGACGGTGTAACAGTTTTGAAATATAAAGTTCTATATTTTTATATGATAAAACAGTATTACTTTCGGGTATTATTTACTGATGTAAGATCAAATCTTATTTCCTCTTCATTATATTAGTATAGATGAATAGTATATCTGCTCACAAGTATATGTCACTTTCAGTGAATTTTTTTTATTTCGGAATGAAAAATCAGCAGATTCTGTCAGTTGAATTCGGAGATCACAAACTGTAGGCGGGGGTTGCCTAAGTTGTGACTTGTGTTCTAGATCCATTAGAGAATGAACTTCAAAAGTGATAATGATGAATGATACTCCGAAGGTTTTCAAACAAAACATACACACACCTTTATTCTTGGCAATTACTGAGAATGAAATCAAAACTTGACTTGCCCTATACAGTGTCATTCATAAAGTCGGCATCATATGGGAAAAACTTTTATTAATGACTTATTTTGAAATTCGAGTTGGACGTTGAGTTTTGCTTCAAACAAGATGAAAAATGGCCTACTCAATCGGGGTCACGTGACTTTCGCTACATGTCAAAAGTGACATTTTTTCAAATTAATCGATGAAAGTAGGCTTATTTGTTCGAATATCGAAAAAGTGTACTCGAAAAAGTTGTTTCTATTTCCATTTTACATAATTATGCGACTGGGATTTTATCTTTCTATTACATTTTTCAGATTTCGATATTTTTTAAAAATTTTCGAAATTTCTGTAATATTAAAAAGATTGTGAATTCGATAAAATTACTTATTCATACCAGTAGCTTCATCATGCTACTTACTTTCAATTACTAATTTTCACTAATTATCGATAAAAATATGATTTTCTTCAGAAAATGATAATCTCCGCTTATGTTTGATGCAAACATAACATCAAAATTCTGTTATGTTTGAGTCAAGCATTTAGAAACGAAATTCATTCAAATTCATTTTTTCAGCCCTGGAAAGATCAGTTTAAATGAATTTCGTTCCTAAATGCTTGACGATATATCAACTTTGCATCAAACATAACAGAATTTGGAAGCGGGTATTATCATTTTCTGAAGAAAATCATATTTCTGTCCATCATCAGTGATAATAAGTAATTGAAAGTAAGTAGCATAAAAAAAGCTACTGGTATGAAGTTGTTTCGTGGAATTAACAATTCATCAAATATTACAGAAATTTCGAAAAATTTAAAAAAATAATCAAAATCTGAAAGTTGCAATAGAAAAATCAAATTCGAGAAGCATCTGTAAAATTGAAATTGAAACAACTTTTTCAAGTAAACTTTTTCGATATTCGAACAAATAAGCCTACTTTCAGCGATTAATTTGAAAAAATGTCACTTTTGACATGTAGCGAAAGTCACGTGACCCTGATTGAGTAGGCCGTTTTTCATCTTTTTTGAAGCAAAACTTAACTTCCAACTCGAATTCCAGAATAAGTCATTAATAAAAGTTTTTCCCATATGATGCCGACTTTATGAATGACACTGTACATATATATACAAATGAACTAATATTCCTGTGAGGAACAGCATCTTCTGTTCTGCCCGAACTGCGGAGATTCGGGCACAGTGGCAACTTTTCGAACTTACAATAGAACTCAAACTTTCCTGACTCGTACTCAAAAAACAGGACTAGAACTCGTACTGGCAGTTCAACTCGCAGTCGAACTGGTAGTCGCACTGTCGAACCCGCTTCCTTACGTATTTTAAATAGTTGTCTATATTTTCGGAAATGTGACAGTAAGGAAATCAGGTCGATAGTCCAGGTTCGTTGAAGTCAATGTCACGCCTGTGTTTATGTACAACTACTATGGAAAAAAGTTCGTTCACGATTCGAAAATTTTGGAATCAATAAACAAAGACGTGACCGTTCAATGACTTCGAACCTTCTATGAATTTGAATGAAATTGAGGAAAAATAACCCTATTCGTGACAATATCCTATTCGTGATAGAAAATAAGCGTAAGCCATCTATCGTAGTGCTTGAAAGCTGTCAGAGTGGCATGTTTACTTTGTTTTCATTGGTTCACATTTGTTTTTTGTTTGTGTATGGTCATATCATCTAAACAAACCGCTCAGAAGTGTTCAAGCTGCTGCCGTCAGGTGGGGCAACGTGTTATTTTCTATCGCGAATGTCTCCCTTCCAGGCGTATTCTCGTATAACGCCACCTAGCGCCTGGCACCGCACTACCGTGGACAAGATAATGATAATCGGTAACCAGCTGTACCTCCAATGCCTCGAATGCGAGTCCATAGTGGACCTGAAGCTGGACAACCTGCCTGCCCTGTTCACCATCGGTCCCTACATCGTCGAAATATACATCTACGCCAACGTGTATGCCGACCTGCTCTTCAGATCCTGCTGTTGCCAGCTCAGGTGTTGCTTGGAGGAGTTCTTCGAGAAATGTACGAACGCCATAGTCCAAATAGGTATGTTCGTTTTTAGGAATAAGGAGAAGCTTAATTCAAATAGTGACCTTCATAATTATCATACTAGGCAGAGAAATAATTTTTATGTACCCTTTGCTGAACTCAAAATCAGAGAGAATGCACCAAACTTCATAGTACTTAAGATTTTCAATAGACTACCCAATAATTTGAAGAATATCGTGAAGATCAACTGTTTCAAAAGCCAACTCAATGAATTCTTGACATCATCATTTTTTTTGTTCTAAAATTGTTCTATCCGTCATTCGGTTGCCCCCTTACGAGCAACCCTCAGAAGTCTTCGAGAGTCTTTTGCGAGCAAGGAATGACGGGGGCCTCACCTTTTGTGATCCCAAACACTTTCTTGGGCCATCTGAAAAATTTCTGCAGTCGATGGGAATCGAACCCACGACCGGCAAGCGAATGCGGATTAGAATATTGACACTCTGTCCACACGGCTACCTGGCCCCTTACTACTTCCTTAAAGATTATTTAACTTAAGGATGCAATAATATTTCACTGTTTTGTTCTCTTGACTATTCCTTTATGGTTTTTGTAACTATCGAAAGGAAAATAAAGTTTATTATATTATTATAGGCAAAGGATTCTTGGCGGTGTGGAAGCAGCGGAACATGTTTTATTGCTTCGATCCCTATTCGAGGAACAACGAAGGGTACCGGTGTAGAGACGGAGCAGCCTGCGTATCGATGCATTCCACTGTGGAGTCACTGGTGGAGGTCATAACTACCAATTTCGATGACAAAGACACGATTTTCTATGTGCATGCGATGAAGGTGTGCAAGATACACAGGGACCCGGCGCAGACTTCCAGGTAGTTTTTGAACCTCACTTTTTCTGTTGGCCTACTATGGGTTGCGTGCAAGAACTGTCAGATGACCGACCCTGGAGGTGGAACATTGAATCACAACCTCACTTTTCTTATTTGTTTACAAGTGATTGAAATAGTTTTGCGTTATTATTTTGGCATACGAATCGTATTTTTCGGTTATTCATTAATTCGCTCATGTCATCACATTGTGCTGTTGTACAATGCACAAAAACCAAAGCGGAAGACGAAGGAATCCGGTTGGTACATTATATTTCAAAAGTAAGTACCTCCTATAGTCACTAACATTATAGTTTTCATTTTAAAACTTCGTAATTTCCCTGATTCTCCTCGGAATTCCTTCTGCAATAGGAGCTAAGAGAAATACTCTAAAAGATTTCAAGAAGATTGGATTCATGCAATCAAACGGGAGGACTGACATGCTGACGAAATATTATGATCGTGTGTGTTGTAGACATTTTCAATCTATTAGCAGTATTAGGTTGTATTGCAGAAGTGGCAGGAAGGAATTTCAATAAGGAATGACAACATTTCATAATGAAAACTATGTGAGATTACTATTTACCTGAAAAATCATATTCCTTCGTCTCTCGCTGCATTTTTTGTGCATTGTACAACAGCACAATGAGAAGGCATGCTTGAATTAATGAATAGCGCAAAAAACACGATTCGCATGCCAAAATATTGTGAAAAACTACTTCAATCCTTTGATTCCTCTGTAAACAAATAAAAAAGTGAGGTTCTGTTTCAATGTTTTACAGAAAAGTGAGGTTGTGTTTCAATATTCCACATCCAGGGTCGATCATCGTGCACGCGACCTATCATAGGGGTCTCCGGACTACATGAAGTTGATTGTTAATGATCACAGGGTTCGTGATTATTTAAGCATTATTCAGACTCCATCCTCCACACCCGATTATGCACTATTTTTCTTGAAAAATCACAGGTGGCACTTTCAACGAAGATATCGGAGACACTTTGAAGATATTTCGAGATATGATTTGAAATTGTTTCCTGCATTGAATGAGTTGAATCAATATTATTTCCGAGGCCCATTGAAAAAAACTTTTCAACAGTAAAATTGAATAACTGAATCTGAAAACTATTTTTCTATATTTTCCTGCTTTTATACTGAAATTTGGTCATAAAGATTAAATTTTTATTTAGTCGACGTCTAATATCGATTAAAATGAAGTGCAAAAACAGAGTTTCTATGTCTTCAAAATTATAGTTTCAAACTTAATGGAATTTTGTCATCAATCATCTTGCAAAAGTCAATTCAAATGGACTCCGGAGATCACTAAACTCAGGTGAATAAAAACAATTTCGATGTTTGATAAGTTATTTTAAACTAATCCATTCGTTTCATTATTCATCTGGCATTTACTTAGACAATATATATATAACTTGTTTCATCTTGAAGCTGCAAATTCTAAACTTGGGCAAAAAAAGTTTACACATGAGGCGATTTCGAAATTCAATAAATTACCAGATGATATCAAAAACATCCCAAATATTATGCAATTCAAAGATAAATTTAAGAAATATATTTATATGCAAAGGAATGATCAAAGCTGAAAGACTATGAATTTCCTTTTTCCTTTTTTTTTTTCACTGTTTTTATTTTTCCTCTTCTTGTTCACTATAATATATGACTATCTTAATAATATGTAAGTTTTGTTCACTATTTGTAATTTCAATCATTTTCAATCATACAACAGTCGATAATACTTCATGAATGATCTTATACCAGGAATTACTGTCTGATCATTCATGTCATTCCTACTAGAAAATTAATTATACTTTATATATTATTTGTATGAAATGTATCAATGGAGAAGAGGATGTAATGCAATAGTTGAAATAAATAAATGAAAAAATAAATAAATTTGGCCAATCTACTCATGATCACTTTAACCTTCAAATTTGAGCTTATACTTCGTTCATGAATTCTTTGTGCCCCTTTTTTTAACTCTTATTGTGAATCTCTACGATGTTCTGATTTGTTACCTAATTGTCCCCAAGTTCTTAATGATGAATCAATTATTATTCACAAATGTATAACAATATTTAGATTCCTCAAATGGGTGCATTAACTTAATAACATTACTTCTTGAATTCTTCCTGAACCTCATGAAAACTTGATGAAGATATTTCGACTTCAAATACCTAAATAGGCGAACGCGAATAAGGGAAATTGAAAAGGTAAAGAGCAGAATATATGTATTTTATTCACTTCAACCATCGTAATGTAAAGATCAGAAAAGGACATTAGTTCAGCAGTCTGAACTCTTATCTCATTAATACCATCCAGTGACTTGAACTACCTCCTACTTCCTGAGAGCTGAGACGAGAAGAGACAAGAAAGATTGTACTTGTCTCTGCTCGTGAGAATTTTTTTTCTTTCGCCTCACCACCACACTTCCAGGTTCCCCAAGCACCTGGCCATGGACGATATAGCGGTGGATGAGGTCAAGCAGTACAAGATGAAGAAGTCGAAGAAAGCGGCCATCGAGAAACCGGTCACCGTTGATTATTCGGCGTTGGCCATGAGAAGGTTGTTGGCCGGTGAGAGTCCTCAGGACTCCATTTTCGATATCGGTTCGACTGTTGAAAGCTTGGCGATGGAACAGCTACCACCGATGCTGCACAAGAATGTGTCCAAGTCCATTTTGAAGGCGCATCCCAAAGTTGTTGATGTCGTAGCTGATTTGGACTCACCTAGCTTGTCCGATACTCAGGTATTAATAACACGAAGCTATCCAATGAATGAGACATAGTCTAGCTTCTATCTAATGGACATCCATTGTAAATCCAGAAGCTATAAGTTTGGATGTCCACTGGATGCCCATCCTGTACATCTTCTGTACATCAATAGGGCATGCATTGTACTACTACTGGATATGGATTGGACAACCACAGTACACCTATTGTACATAAACTGTACATGAATTGTACAGTTTATGTAAAGTTTTGGACAATATAAATAAAACTCTCCCTATATACAGGGTGATTCAAAAGTAAGCGGCATCCTTTCAGAGGCGTATTCCTTGCTTGAAAATAAGGCAAAAAGTTCCTATTGATAAGGATCCGAAAATGCTTCCTAAGGGAGCTACGGCCCTTTGAATAGGACACCTCAAAGACGGTTTTTTCTCTATAACTTTAAAATCCTTCACAACAAATTTTTAAAAATTGGTGTACGGCATAAACATTCGATGGTAAATAGGACTCCGTATTCGAAATTTCAGAATTTCATTCAGGGGCGTCACATGCGGGAGAGGGTAAGTGTAAAAATATCCCTTCTTCTCCGGATATTCAGGTTACTGTGATTTCGTTTGGAAATTATTTCGAATACGGAGTCCTATTTACCATCGAATGTTTATGCCGTACACCAATTTTTAAAAATTTGTTGTGAAGGATTTTAAAGTTATAGAGAAAAAACCGTCTTTGAGGTGTCCTATTCAAAGGGCCGTAGCTCCCTTAGGAAGCATTTTCGGATCCTTATCAATAGGAACTTTTTGCCTTATTTTCATGCAAGGAATACGCCTCTGAAAGGATGCCGCTTACTTTTGAATCACCCTGTATATTCTCTCTTCCACAATTTTTTCTCAAGTTTCTAAAGTAATGCTGTTTTGGCCCAGCAATGATACATGCATAATATGCACTTCCATAGCTCAATGGCTGATTCATACAACGTTCATTATTTAATCACAATTTCACTGCATTTATAAGTATTCCATATTATATAACGATGGATGATTTCTCGAAAAGAATAATGAATGAGAGAACACACACTTCGCTTATCCTAAAATATCATGTGAACAAATTGAAAGGGTAATCATTACACATAACCTCAAAATGACCTCGAATAATTAGTTCACCAAGTTCAGTAAAGTTGCATGAGCCCTTCTTTGAAAAATATGATAATATAATGAAAAATAACCATGGTTGAGCGACGGAATAAAGACGAACAGACAGAACACGAAACAAAGATGGCGATGGCATATGCATTCTTTCAGTCTTCTTGATACATTATGGGTATCCATTGAAAAGGTGTCACCAGTTATCCATTGGATGGGCATTAAGGTTTATCCAATGGATGTCCATATGAATATTTGGAATATAATAATAATAAAATATTGGAATAGTGTCAATGGTATTCCATTGGACAGGCATATAGGTTCATCCAATGGATGTTCATTTCTTTCCCATGGACATCCGAACCTTTTTTGGACGTGAAATGGGCATCCATTGGATGGACTGTGTTATTAGGGTAATAAGGTCTTAGACCATTCAGTTGCAGATTCAATCAGTGCCGATTTCTCTGTAATCTCATTATCGATTGTACGTCAGCCATTTTCACGTTGTTTGTGTTTGGTACATTGTGCATAATATGAATTCTTGCTCTTCTTCTTCTTTTTCTTCTCTGCACGGGTGGGTGGATGCAAAGACCCTCAGGCATCTTCAGTCGTGCCCATTGTGCTCCCACATGGCCTGTGAATCAGCTGACAATGTCGATTTGTTTGACGAAATTCAGCGGCTTCATCAGCTAAATAACTTTCACATCCTTTGAGTGCCGTATTTTTGCCCTTAGACCATTCAGGATCTCGCTTCGCTCGAATGGGATGCTAATAGTCTCTATTAACTATGTGTGGAAGATATGTCAACATTAAAAGAGAAGGGCAATATATCAGCATATCTCAGTTGGATAAGGGAATTTCGAAATCATATAGCTTCAATCACTTAACTCCACTAGAGACGAAACGAATATATGTGGATTTTGTCGGTCAATAATAGGAGCACTGATGACTGAGTTAGTTGATGATCTCATTTACGAGAGATTATCGAGAATTTTATGACTTGATGTATATAATTCATTCAAAGAATAATTCGATTCGAACACATTGAATCAAAGGCGGTCTGTGTGAATGAATGAATTCACTATTCATCTGAAGATGAAATTGAGTACGTTTGTAATGAACATCACTAATATACACAGAGGAGAAAACATGCGAAGACCTCTTCAATCTCTGCTGTCCATAAAATCATCCAGATAATAAGATGCTTTATCTGAGACGAACTCACATGCTCTTCTAGTCTACAGAAGTCAATCCACTTCGTCTTAGCAGGCTGGTCTTTAGAAAAACTGAAAAACTTTCCCTACCTATGGAAAGATATGTCTTACCAGTTTCTGAAGAATACTTTTTGTGAAGTATATGGCTCTATCAGCGGAAGTCAAAATTTCCGTGAAGAAACAGTATAAATTACCCAACTGCTCTCAATTCTGAAATATTTTCTAGATAGCTATCAGTCAAGTGTCATAACATAACGTTTGGTTTTTGAAATTTTTATTGCAAACGCAAGCGCCGTTAGGATGCGAGTATTTTTCATCCTTCACATTGATTTATTTCTCTAAAGAATCAAATAATATTATCATGGACATGAAAAGTGATTTAGAGAAAAGATCCTCTTGGTTACAAGTTCATAAACTATCTCTCAATTATAACAAATCCTCATATATGTACATAGCAAAAAGAACATTGAACATTTCAAATAGAACACTATCCTTCAACAATAAACTCATCAAATATACAGATGTTACAAAATTTTTAGGTCTTTATATTGAAGAACGACTATTGTGGAATAAACATATAGATCATTTGAGGAACAAACTCAATCCTATTACAGGCATTTTATTCAAAATACGAAATTTCATTTCTACCAGATACTTGAAGAGTATTTATTTCTCTCTTATTTACTCAAAATTTCAATACCTAATATCTATATGGGGAAGTACCAATATTTCACGTTTGAGTCCACTAATGAAATTACAAAATAAAACATTGAAGTGTATTTTCAATTTAAATTTTCTCGAACCAACCATGAATTTATACAAACCTAGAGATTCATTAGATCTGACATCACTATATAAACTAAAAATATGTTGTTTTATTCAATTTGTCCTATATAAATTGAAAATTTCGAATTTAAATTTCAATGAAATCAATTCATTACATAATCATGGAACAAGACAATCAAATTTACTAATAGCAAATACGTTCAAGTCAAATATCGGCAAACAATCAATTTTTCACACAGGAATCGTTCTATACAACTCATTACCAAGTCAATTGAGGAATATACAGGAAGCAACTAGATTCAAAATTAACTTAAAAAAAATATCTGCTTCAGAGACTTTGATAATTCCATCTTCAATTTGAATACCTACTTATAAAAGACTAGGTTGATATTGCATGATTATTTGCATTTTTTTTTACTTGTTATATCTTATTATAATTTCATAATTGTATGTATAACACTATGTATATTGTTTATGTATCCCTATTATAAACAACTATGTTTTTTGGGGTGATAAAGACAATCAATATGAGCGAAACGAGATTCTTTAGGGTCTAAGGGTGAGGTCCCTATTTCTTCTAATTGATGAAGTAATGGATTGATAGGTGATTTTTCCTTCGAATATTCAGATCGAGCCACCGCTACCTCAGCAGCCGAAGATCACCGAAGACATAGAGTTCTTGGACTTGGATTCGTTCGAGCTGACCATGGAAGAGATCGAATTGGAAGTGGTGGCACAACAGGAGGACGAAAATGAGCAGCCCGAAGAAGGCGAAGGCATGATGATGGCAGAGGGGGAAAGTGACTTCGAACAAGCGCCAGAGGAAGCTAACTTCATGGGCTTGGGTGGGGAGGGCGATGACCTCGACGATTGGTTCTTCGCCACGGACATGTATTCGCAGTACTCCGGGATCAAGAAGCCCAGTCAAATGTCGGAACAAGTGAACACCGACATCACTTACTTCCCTATTAAACGCGAGATCCTCTACCCCACTTACTTACGCGACAGGCAGCGGGTGAAGTATCGCCTGCAGAAATACAGATTCACCGAGGAAGATTGGGAGAACTATCTTCCGCCCAGTCCCCCGGAAATCACCAGGTCTGAGGAACTAAGGAAAGAAACGAACTTTGTCAACCTACCTGATGATACTCAAATTATCCTCGGTGGCAAAAACGTAGCTGATGCTGGTGGCGAAGACGTTGAATTCGTGGCACCTTTCGTGTGCATCATGGCCGGCGTGGTTGCCAAAAAGTACTCGATATCTTCTTGGACCGGAGAAATCGTCGATTACATCATCAAGTGCGGTAATGAACTCCACGCAGCTTCCAAGTTCAGATACGACCAGGTGTCCAAGCTGGAAATACCTCGGATAAGTCTGGGCAACACGGATTTCACCGTCTTGGTGGAGTACATCTTCGACAGCTACACCAGACAGAACATCCTGGAGCTGGCTCTAGAGAAAATCCTCTTTGTTAGATCAGACGTGGGGATCTTCGTGACGCCTGTGTACGCGTGCGCGGTTTTTTATAAGAACCACCTCTACTACGTGTACGATTGCTTCGGCAACAACGAGGTGGGATTGAGCGAAGGACCCAGCGGGAAGGGCACGGCTTGCCTGGCCAGATTCAAGGATTTGCGTTCGCTGACGTCGAGGATGATGTACAATAAGAGGAAGAGGGAGAGCTCTGAGGAGATCGTTTACAGTCGGTTCGTATTATGATAATTATTTGAAATTTTGAGATTTCTCCGGATTCGAGATTTTTACAGATGAGTTCTAGAATTTCCTCACCCCCTTTGGAAACTCAGGAAAATTGTTTTTTCACAATATACATACTTAAACTGAAAAACATTAACATCAATTCACACAATAATACGAATGCATTAAAATTAAGAAAAATCGAGTTGATTAACAGCGATCATCTATCTTTTTCGCATTTTCTATAAGCCAACTTTTAACTTCTCTTTCGAAAGTTATGATAGTTTGACGTCTTCATTTTGATGGTATTTTATTATGAACTAGAATGTTTTTCTAAAATTTCAAGCGTATATGTTTCTCAAGTCGTACATTGTTGATTTTGTTTCTTGTATCATAACTATGATCGATTTTATTTGTTATTACCAGGTTCTTCCTGATGAAAATTTTTGACGCCTTGTAGAATAATTGCCTAGCATTCAATATTTTATTTTCTGAAAACAATGAGGCTGATAGATGATCAAATGATTCACGGAATATTATTTCCAAAACATATATATGAGTACATAATAATGGTTTTAGATGAGTTTCATACATATCACCCCATCCAATAATCCCATACGATAATATGGATTGGAAGTGGAAGTGTGATAAAACATGATTATTAACTGTCTATATACTGACAATATTTCGCAAAAGTCTGAATTTTGGAAGGGTACTTCTGAGTTTCTTTGTTAGTTCTGAGATATGTCAATAGTTTAGTGTTATGCTTTGAGTTGAATTTTGTTGAAATTGAGGTGGTTTGATATCAAGATATACACAGTCTGCAGAAAAATTTGAGAAACAAATTCCAACTTTGGATCGCATTGATATAAGTTAATTTTTGTAAAAAACATAATTATGATGCAAGGAGAGAAAATATTGTTATTTTGAAAAAAAATCTGGAAAGTCTGAGGAAGTAATCTCTTTGTCGTCGTAGATTCGTGCTCAGTTCGGTGAAGGTCAAAGAGTTGAGAGACGCTGGTAAAGAGAAGAAAAAGAAGAAGAAGAAGAGCAAGGCGAGAAAAACTGATGCTGCCAAGGACGATGAGTATTTATATCAAGGGGAAGACGAAATGGATGAGATCAAGCCGGAAGAAGAGAAGAAGGATGAGGATAGCGTAGACGAAGACGAAAAGGTAGATGAAAGTGAAGATCAGATGTTTCCCACAAGATCCAGTTTTGGGAACAATTTTATTTTCACATCACATCACATCGATATCAACTTTGGAGTACTGATAAATATACTTTTTATTTTCGTGTCATTTGGCCGCTTGCTATGATTTCTCCTCCGTCAATGTAAGAATTGGTCGTGAAGTTCCACATTGAGAGTGAAAAAACGTAAGATGACTCACGTTTTTCGATAATTTGTATTTGTTCGAATATTCTATATCATTTTCCTCGAATATTTTCTGCAAGCCATAGCTTCTAGGGCTATCCTGCAAAATTCTGAGATTTTTGACTTTGACATTGACCTCATGTTTAAGAAGCGCCAACTGGATTGAGAATTGGAAGGAGAACTATGATTGTAGATGTAAAATACAACATTGATCCGTTCTTAAATAAATTTCAATGCCATCATTATTGATACGTGAAGGGACCTACAAGCTACCAATCAATAATCTCAATCTTGAATATCGAAATTCCACATCGAAATTGTAAACTCTACTATTACGAACTTTTTGAGCAGAAATCATCATAGTCAAGTTTGGTAATGGTGAATCCCAACGTCACATGTGAGAGTTTTACTTGAAAGTTACACATCAGTCATGTTTTCCTATTAGCTGAATATCGTTTATGCTTCATCTTATGACCTTGGTCAATCAATTTGAAGGAAATCTTGCACATTATAAACGGAAACATTTTTTCTGAAAACATAGCCAGTCGATGAAGACGAGAAACTCGAAGAGAAAGAAAAGAAAAAAGAGCCCGAAAACAAAATCGGCTACCAATACAAGAACGGCTTCTACACCATCCAGGGAACCAAAGCGGTAGCAGGTCGAAAAACAGTAACAGAAGAACTCAAAGAGGACCATTTCATCTGCCTATGCGCTTGCCTAGTGCTCCTCACCTGTCCTGTGAAGAAATGGGACACCAAAAAGGTCATTATCATGTTTGATCTGTTTGATCAACGAACCATACTTGACTATTCATATTGTTTGCCCAATCATTACATATATGGCATGTGAATGGCAACATAGCTGGAGAGACCGACTTGGTCGGCTATCAGCCATCGTCGTCAGTGTTTGTTCAAGAATAAGATAAGGTAGACATAAGGAAGTGGTAGATTCAAAAATGAAACGATAGATATAGTTTGAAAATTGCCTTTTTCACCAACTACTAGTGGTTTACGAGTTTGGTAACATGATTAACAGAAGTGAAGAGGAAAAATTGAATGATCATCATTTTTGAATATTGAATTGAATCGGCTTTTATTTGATGAAAATTAATACTACAAATTGATTCATGACTCGCATTCATGGTAAATAGTTTTTCCACTTTATCCTTCAGGTAGACAAAGTACTCGAATACGGTAAGCACGTCTACTCGCACGCCGAAGACTTGAACATCTCCCAAAAAAGAACCATCAAGAACGTCCTCATCGGCGAACACTTCTTCGATGTGATCGTCAAGAGCATCAAAATCGAGAACTGGAGAGACAACAAGAGCTTGAACGAGGGCATCGACACGATCCTAGGAAGAAAGATGTCCTACTTCCTCGTCCAGTTTCCCAACGCCTGCTACGTCATCCACAAGTCCTCCGACGCCATCTTGCACTTGTTCGATCCGTATGGCGTGCCCAAGAGCCAAAAGGCCGGTTGGACGCGGTTCAAGGACGCGAGGCATCTGAAGAGGCGATTGAGGAGGATTGTGGTGGCTGGCGGGGAGTCGTACAAGTTTTACACGTTCGAGATGACTTCTATTCAGAAGGCTCCTAAGGGGCTCGTGTTGAGTCACAAGCTGGAGGAGTACGAAATGGAGGCAGCGGTAAAGAAGGAATATCATGGTGAGACAACTTTTTAGTAACCATGCTGGCCATGATTAGTTGTAGACGTATTTTTGGCATTTGAATTCAATGAATTTTCGAGTGGGATTCTATTAGTTTTTTTCCATCTTCCGGGCTCAAGGATCTTGTATATTCTCAAGAACAGAAATACAAATAATATTTCCGTAACAGAGAAAATTAAGATATATAATCCTATTACTCTTGGAATGCGATAGGCTCAAATTCTAATGATAATTAAGGGTAAAACTGATTCTCTTATGAATGAATAAACGATTTGCAGCTAGTTTGGGATTGACTGATTGATTGTCTTCATAACCCCAAGCAACATCTGTTTATAATAAGGATACATGAACACATATCAGAGAATATTACTAATGAATTTCTCTCAGTGGAAACAAATTCATACTTTTTCATTAGATGGAAGTTATAACATTTCAATCTGAGTAATCAAATCATGTCAAATATTTTTGACCACATATTGTTAAAGATTGACTTTGGATCTTCTTCATGTATATTCTTCAATCCATTCAGTAATACAATTATTCCATATATAAAATACAAATTGTTTGCCAATGTTCGACTTGAATGTACTTGGTGTCAAGTCATTATGATGAATAGCATTATCTATATCCCTGATCAATACTTCCAAAATACTCACGGACAAATTATAATGTTCGATGGTCAAACTCCAGGCAAATGAGTGGGTATAAGACTGTGACTTCTTGGTGAGCAACAGGTGGTCCAGAATTATGTTATTGCTTTGATTTTGGCATCTTCCATTTAATTCCCTCAATTACTCAAAAGAAAGTCAGTTTATTATCGCATTCAATAAGTAGCTTGAGTGGCTGCTATGTTCAAGGAACCCTTAAGCAAGCATCAATATCTATACCAAAAATACACCTTCAAGTATAAAATTGTTCTTATACTTGGAGGTGTATTATTTGTATCAATATTGATGCTTGCTCAAGGGTTCCTTGAACATAACAGCCCCTTTCAGCCCCAATTCCTATAAGAATTCTAGTATTTCGACTATTGGGTAAGTAATCTGCAGTAGTAGAGGAACAAAGACGTTACGGGCACACAATCATGGTAGTGTTCAGTGCAAATTCAATGATTACATATCATGATCCCACACATCGGAAATTGAAACAGACCCATGATTTTATATTGATTATTCGGTTAATGGTTAACGTTGACCTCCGAGCGAATTGTGTGGTACATATCATGAATATGTATACATGTCACTTTTTTCTCTGAATAACGTAAGCATACTTTCACACACTCGGCGGTTGCTCTATGTTTGATCGCAGCGCCCCAGCACCTCAACAGGACTAGTGGTGGAGTTAGGGACTAGTGAGCTCGAAACAGCTTTGTTCATCTACTGTTCCTTATTCACTCCTGTGAGAGAAAAATTAATATTGGAGTAGTTCAATCAAGCATTCTCTTTACCCAACTCCATCACTCATAGATATATTTTTCACAAAATATTTGCGATACACTCTCTGTATTCTAGACTAGGCTTCGCTTCTTCTATAGGTGGATATTTTTTAGGTAAACCGTTTTACGAAGATGTCGAATGGCTGCAGACAGACCCAGTACCATGGTCGAGAAGGAAAGACAAATCTGCGTGCGGCAAAACTAGAGGGGCCTTGGAGAACATGTGGTTCAATTGGGACGAGGAGTACCCCAAGGATCTGTATTCTCTAGTCGGAAATATCCATGAGTACAACGAAAGGTAGGAGGGGGGTTTTCCTAATGGTGAAATCAAATTGCGCAAATATTTCGACTTGGAGAGTGATTATTCATTATTCTCGAATTGAAAATATTAAATCTCGATTTGGAGTGACTCTTCTCATGTTGACAGGGGTTTGTTCGTAACTTGATAGTGATCTTTCTGATCCATTAGAGATCTGGGATAGTGATTGAAATAATAATTCCGGTCTCCATCAAGACGAAAGACAAGCAAACCCTGGTCAATCTGATCACAGTCGTCGGCATGATGGAGATCTACAGCCAGCCCGAATGGGACTCCCTGTTAGTGGATTCTGTTCTTATCAACGGCGACCATTATTCCACCGATTGAGTCTGAGACATTTCCGACAAACGAAGACTACGAGATCTTCTTCTCCCTTATTTCTTCAACGTCGGCCTTTTCCTGTTACCAAGGCTAATCACCGACTCCGGTAAGCCTACTACCTCCAACCGGAAATTTTACCGAATCCTCTGGTGTTCCAACCGCCGGCTTAACGTCCCCTCCGAAAGACGGCATATACGTACCATATCTTGTGCTCATTGATATGATAGCTGTAGCTATGATATGCTAGTCCACCACTACAGATGTAACTACGGCCTCACGCGTTGTTTCCTCGAATGGTCACCCATCCAAGTACTTACCCGCTCGACACTACTTAACTTCGGATATCGAACGGCTAGTGCCTTACCTGAGAAGCTAGGACGATGCCCAAGACTACGAGATCTTGACGATATTTCTGGTTCATATACCTAAATGTTCACTATCCTTGTTTGAAGCGACCTTCTACTTCCTAAGTATTATAACCTCTGAACAACAAATGATCGAAGGTTATAACCTCCGAACCTCCGTTGTATAATTGAAGAATATAACCAATTCTAATCTATTAGTACTCAATTCTAGAATCATTATACTTCTTCCTCTTTGAAAAGCTCCCGATGTTTTCTCAAGGTTCTCCAACAAGACGAAAGGTAAACAAACCCTGGCCAATCTGATAACAGCTATCGGTATGATGGAGATCTACGACCTGTCCGAATGGAACTCCTCCGTGGTGGATTCTGTTCTCGTCAATGGCGATCATTATTTCGCCGATTGCATCCAAGACATTTCCGACGAAGACTACGAGATCACGATGGACGATCTGAAGCCGGATTGCAGCATTTTCCCGTTCAGCTTCCAGGTGGCGTTGGCGCCAGTAGTGGAAGGCACCATGTTCTTGGTCAGACTCACGCAGTTCAACTTGTACAAGGCACTCAGGTAATTCACTACATGTGTTGTGTGGCGGAGTAAACAACAAATGGAGGGACAATGCTTTTTCTCGGCGTCACGGTGAATGGGGGACTTCGCTCCAAGTTGCCAACCAAAAAACCTCTACCACTGTAGAAGCAATATTATGGAAGTTTGATCACTCAAATAGCGTTATTTTGGAGAAATCTGAGTGTAGAAGTCTACTCAATATTCTAAAGGAAGCTATCCAGAAGAAACATTAGTTTTTGTGAACTCCTCATCTGACATGTTGGTGCATCTGCGGTACTGAATGTCAATACTTTCAATAGTGTCAGTAGTGTCACGAGTAAAGAATGGTATATCAATATGATTCACTACATCAGTGAGTTCGAATCAGGTTCGAACTTCGGATAATGATCAAGAAACTCTCATGAGAAACGTGCGAACCTATAATAAACTGGATGTGAGGGTTCCAAAGTTGTCCGGTCTGGGGCTACTCTCGACTCGTCGTAATGGTAATGAACATAACATTGTTATTGAATTTTTATATTTATTGTTGTTCATTCATATTCCCTCACTACCATAATATCTCATGCAACAATAAATATTGTGATGTTTGAATAGTCTTGTGATTCAAACTACCCTTGAACTATCTGTGTCTAATTATTTGAATAAAGGTATGTTATTTTGATATTGTTGTACACCGACATTTGTGATATGTATCTCTATTACCAGAAACTTTGACCAGTTTTTATCTAAGGTTAGCCTTGGTGTAAGCCTCAAAAGTATTTATTGAATGATTACATATGGTAGGTTGGTGTTTTTATTTATGATATCGACTGTGATTTTTCTACGTTTCCACACAGTTATGGTTTTATCCACTTAAAGACACTCCCTTGGGTTATTTTTCATTCGAGAAGAAGGTCGAAACTTCATCATTTCATCCTCATGAAGTCATGTCTGGATCGATTTTTAGAACTCAATTGAAATATATTCCTGCTTCCTACTGCAACAATCAAATTTCTTTGACATACATAAAATGATCTCGAATGTGTAACAAAAATGTGACGAATTAAAACATTGACAACGATATGACATATTTCAGAATAAGAGTAGATGCATCAACATAATTTTCAACTTATCAGAACTGGAGTTCACAAAATTTTATTTTTCTTCTTAATAAGTAGTAATGAGTAGACTCCTATAATCAGAATTCACCAAAATAAAGCCATTTGGGTAATGAAACTTCCATAATGTTGCTTCTACATTGGTAGAGGTTTTCAGATTGACAACTTGGAGCGAAGTCTCCCATTGAACTCACGCATACCACGTGATCGGCTTAGTAGCGTCTGGGGAGTATATTTGCCATACATTTCAGAATGGTGGGGGGAGTGCAGCGTTGCTAGTTATCGCTGCTGCAGCATCGCTGGTTATTATAAAAATGGGTTTTGCCATCAAATCTTGATCATGTACGTTCCCATAGGGGCAACAGGACCCCTTTACAACTAACCTAACCTCAACAGGTGCTTTGCACAATAATTTTATTCAAAGTTTTTTCATAATATTGTTTTCATTCCCACGTGAGTGAATTCTCTATTTCATATATTTTTCATGATTAACTTGTATCATATTATAGGACCTTTGTAATCGAACGTTGTGGACATGATTTCGTGTTTTCTAACACTTTCAACTAGGTGTATTCTCAAGGAAATTTTTTTTTGGTGTAATGAACCACTTCTACACACTATTTCAAACAGTAATAATTTCCCCAGGTACTTCTTCGATGGATTCGATGCACGGTACGGCCTCATCTGCTGCACCAAATCCGACCGGAAGAAGCACGTGGCCTTCGGCAAACTCCGCGACGCCGAGTACTTCGTGTTCGACAGCGGGTGTCGCGGCGCCCCGATGTTCCCAGATGGCGCTGGCGTCGCCTACATCCTGAGGATGACGACCTTGAACCGGTTGCTATACGTGTTGACCTTGACGCTGCGCGGAGGCGATTTTTATGTTCACGAAGTGACGGTCAGTGATTTGAAACCGATGAGCTAGGAGTCGAGGATTCAATTCCATTTCAATATTCATATGTCTGTGGATTTTTCTCTCTTTTGCATATTTGTACAGTAAAAACCAAGATGTTTGTTTGAAAATATACTTCATTTCGTTCATATCAGTTATCGTGGTACCTACGAATTATTAGTACATTTACGACGATTACGACCTTGAACTGGTTGCTGCACGTGTTGACCTTGGTGCTGCTCGGATGCAATTTTTTTGTTCACAAAGTCTTGAAACTGATGAGCTAAGAGTAGAAACTGCTGTTTTTTTATTCATTTGTCTGTTGATTTCTTTCTTGTTTGAATTATGTGCGCAGTTAAAACCAAGATGTTTGTTTGAAAATATATTTCATTGCTGCACGTGTTGACCTTGATGCTGCACGGAGGCGATTTTTATGTTCAGGTGACGGTCAGTGATTTCAAACCGATGAGTAAAAAGTTTTTTTTTCATATATCAATTTGTCTGTGAGGTTTCCTTTATTCATATGGGAACAGTAAAAACAAAGATGTTTGTATAAAAAATACTTTATTTCGTTTAGGTCAAATATCGTGATATAAAAATTAAGTACATTTGTGTCAATTTGGGGAGTGCGTTCCACTGAAAGCCATATTCGTTGGAATTAAATGCAGTGGGGTGCGTTCGATTACGTACTCGTAGTTTTTGTGTACAGTTCGAATTAGGTTAGGTTCATTTGAAGAGTAGTTTATGAATTTTTTCATATACTAAAATATTTCACACCTGTTTATTACTTCTCTCAACATCATTGAAGACGGAGATGTGACTCGATCTAAGGATGTTGATGAACCTATATAGAATATCAAGACTAAGAGATTCTACGTGAATTTCGTGAATGGATTGTAAGCTGATGCAAGTCTAGCTGCTTCGCCTTGCTAAGCCTCATCAGTTGCCCTAGGCCAGCTGACAATCATTTCACGAAGATTACCTCCATATATGATACAAATCGAAGCCCGGAGGAGACAGAAGGACAATCTTGCCTTCACAAAGGAGTCTAAGTGCAAAAGTGTATAAGTAGATTCAACAATCATACCTTGCGAGTAAGTCGTGCACAGACCCCTACGTATATGCTTACAGAAAGACAACATGTCAAAATATTCAATTATCAATTCAATTATATGTATTAATTGAAGTTTATTGTATCTGGCTTTATGGGAGTTTAGCAGTACTCAACTTATTTATTTATGAATTAAACTGAAGTAACTAAACAATAGCAGCTTGGCAATTTTAGATGTCAAAAAACTCATTGAAAATTCCGTTCGAATATCAATTTAACTCAGAGTAAACTGATGAAACCTTCAACGAAGCTTACTCTACACTGTGAGTCAATAATCGAACGTACCCCTGGGATTAAGAAACGTCATCAATTAAGTCATTGATAAAATAACGATGGTGGGTTTACGTGGTTGTCCAGGTCTATCGAGTGTGAATGTACAAAGTGAAACGATTATTAGTGAATACCACACAATTGAAACAATTTAAGAGTGTAGAATAACTCTTCAATTTAATTGGGGAAGACCACTGGGAGATGAAATCCGTCCAAACCTCTTTCAATCGTGAATCATGATTTACATTTAATGTACAATCAATATTATATGTTAAAGTTGAAGGGAATCGAATCTATAGCGTTTTGAAATCAGCATATTCCATTCGATATTTCAAAAAGCCAAATATGAATGTGGAGTCGTGACGTATTACTCCGGAATTGTAGCTATCTCTCTCTGATACCTTGCCATTCTGCAGTGTTGCAGTGTGATTGGTCAGCTCAAGGACAATAGGCGTGTTGGAACTAATACGTCACACCAGTCACAGCAAATGAATTGACACCATCTCAAATGGTGCACAAAGTGTGTGTTTTGGGATGCAGATATTCAAATTTTTTCTATCCTATTGTATGGATGAAAAATAATATTCGCTGTTTTTTTTTCGATAGTCAAATTGGTCTCTCCCATCTTCATAACTCTGTAGGTACTGTTAACAATCATAAAAAAAAAACAGAATTGTGCGTTGAGGGTTCAAAATGGAACACACCCTAGATACCTTTCAGTCCAGGGAAAAGTGCTTATGCAACATCTAATATGAAAACAATATTGAAGAACGAATCTTCGAAGCATTGCGCATAATAAATATAATTAACAATGAGGTAATTGCAAACTCAGAATAAGGTAAGGTAAGGTAAGGTAATGATGAATTCGATTTATACTAAAAGTCCTGGCCCTGGCATTTCATGCCATAAAGCACAAACAACTAACCACATTTTCGTAATGTGACATCTAGAAAGTATTCTAGTTCACTTGTAGGTATAGCTGCTTAAGCTAGCATAAGTTAGCATTATTATTGATCGTGTAAGCAAATAGCTATCGATTCGTTGCATCATTTGAGCATTTATAGTTTGGCAACAATGTTATTAGCTATCAGCATCATTGATATAAATATCATAATATCAACTATCATAATTGTCAGTAATAACGGGAAAATCAAATGTCATCTATCTTAATTTCCGTTAAGTATTAATTTGAGAATTCGAATACATGGCTGAAAATATGAACAGGTAGGTAGCTGATAGTGAATACACATCGCATAGTCGGGCCAAATTTCAAACTGATCAAGAAGAAATTATAATTGTCAGTATGTAGTATGTGCATTCCAAAAGTATGTCCAACTTACCCTACTTTACCTTATATTGTTATTGTTGGTGATGTATTGAAAAAACAAAAATGTAAATAGATGTTAGCTGTCATTGGGACGAATTTGGACGGAGAGATTCATATTATTGATTCTATGATCATTCAGAGTATGTGGTTTTTTATTTGATGTGCATTTTTTTTCTAGTGTTATATTGATCTCAAAGTAAAAATAGGGATCCTGGATATACTGCTCGACGTAAAATGTCATTATATACTAAGAATATTGTACAGGATGAAAAAGAGACAGTCATGCACTCTGTCCTACATTCAGCGGTATTTTGGTTTCAAAATATAAATCATTCAATAAAAAGTAAAACACTTACAAACTAACTAGAAGATTAATTGAGAGTATTAAAAAAACCTTCAAGATTCGGGTGGAATGTACCCTTTACAAACATAGTATCCTAATAATAGATAAATTTGATGTGTGAACAACCTTTTGAAAATTTCTAGGAATTAATGAAATTTCTAGTTCAACGAAAGGAAATACACCCTGCAGTAATACAAACTCTCGGTCCCTGCTTTTCATGATCTAAAATTGTTTTTTTCAAAGGAGGAACATGAAGCAGTTTCAAATTATAAAAAAAATAGAGATAAAATTTGAAATGAATGGGTGTCTCTTCAGAGACACAGATATTTCAATTTGGAAACTTGTATTTTTATTGCGAAAAAAATTAACTTTACAACATGAGAATCGGGGACAGAGAGTATAGGTACTAACTCGTTTGGAATTTCAATAAAAACCGAAATTAAACGGCCTCTCGAATCCTACAGAGTGTTATTTTCTTAAATGATCGTCACATCATAGAGCCCTTCGCAATATTTCGCTCTATACTAATGTTTTATACATCATTGAAACGACTGAGCATGTAATAGTTAGATCTTCATAAGTGGCAAGCGGCAAATCAAAAAATACTTCAATAGCCGATAAGAACAATAATTCAAAGAAACGCCGGATACTACATGGTGATCTAGTCATACTATCGCCATCTAGTGGCGTTAGTTCTAAGGTAGAACCTTGCGGCACGTCATACACAGCATCACGCTGCCATCATCTATAGTCAGCAGGAGCGAGACAGTACTGTGTAATTGGGGCAACTATGTTAATCCTAGATCTTTCTTATAGCGAATTCCGTTTGTAAACCTGGTGGTGCACTGGTTTTGCACTATTTTTGCACCCGGACTACGTTAGTTCTCCCCAAAATGTGAACTGGTGCATTCCTAATTGAATACGAAATAATATAATAACATTTTATTGTTGGAGGTTATTAAATCGGATAAATGGTTTGTGTCTTTGTTTATAACTTGTCCGCATCCAGAAATTCTTTCTCAACTTCAATTAAAAACAAAGAAGATATGTTTTATGGAAATAATTTTGAGCACTTTTCAAGTAATTATCTCTTCATCATTGAATTAGTGCAAAACACTCAACAAAACTATGGAATCTGGAAAGTAATCTCCTTTATTTTCTTGAAACTTCCAACTTCTCATCACTATTTGATGATGATGATTACATTGCCACTAATAATTTGGATTTCAAGCTGTTGTTATTTGATTTTATTCAGAATACTCTGTAGTTTGATATTTTTGAAATCCCCTTGTATTTGATGAGATTTTGGCAGTTATCAATGAAGTGAGATTTTTGGAAAAAATCAGTCAGACTATTCATCAGTGATTTTCAAGAAATAGACGAGTTTCTCGACAATAACTACTGAACATTTATGGTCCTTCGAGCCGGATCTGAACCAGCGACCTATGGATCTACATTTCCCATAGGCCAATTGTTTCTTGGCATTCTGTTGTCACAAATTACTACCAAATCTCCTACATTCGGGGGATGACCATCTCTATACCATTTCGTTCGCTTTGTTAAAGTTTGTAGGTATTCACGAATACTATAACGAACTTAGGCTTGAGATGGACAGATAGCAATTCCAGAAAAAGTGTTATCTGAAGGAAACTTGATCTCATTATCTCAGGTGAAGATGGAATAGATAATGCACTGAAAAATATACGATGAAGGATATTGATTTACCGGCACAAAGTATCAACATAAGAACTTTCAAATCAAAAAGTGGTTGGAAGTGATACTTTCAATGTCCTCTGCATTGTTAGAAACATATGTTAAAGGTCGACTATTTACAATATTCTCAGCTTCGGCCAATAACGTTGTAAGGACTTCTTGTCTTGTATTTCTTTCCCTCAACGTAATTTTCAATATGCTTCTTTTACAGATCGTATCACAAACTATTCATGTTCAATGTTTCCTCCATTTTCAAAACGGCACTGACTTCGCACGACCTATCAGAGCTCGTGCGAGAATTGTTTCACTGAGCTCTAAACTATGTGAACCAGTTTTCCAAAGTCAAAACCCGATATCAGTTTTTCCAATGGAATTCATTATTAGTTATGAGATCTAGTGCAGTGAATCGGACTGGTGGGTTTTCACTCAAGTATTCATTCAGGTTGTGCCGTCTGTCAGCAGCACTTGTAGAAGCACTCTGTAATGTGTAGACGTTCGGGTCTCCACGTGTTGAATTTAGATGGTAGCCTTATGCTATGTATGACATGTCAACATTTTTTAAACATCTCAAAACATCCCAGGGATACCTCAGTAGGCAAAAATTCATCGTCAAGCCAACATCTCTGGGATGTCTGTGCTCGCTGGGTACCTTAGAACTGACGCCACTAGATGGCGGTAGCATGACTAGATTCAAGGAAACCGTTCATAACCAGTTTAAGAACTGCAAGATTCCCAATTAGTATTCACTTTTTGGGTGATTCTTTTTCTTCTTCATTTTGAGTGTAAACGATTTCCGCGTACTCTGTTTTCTCGTCGTCGTTTTTCACCACCGGCTTCAGATCTGCCCTCGCGAGGTCTAGTTCAGCGTAGACCAGTCCTTTGTCGTCCTTGAGATCGATTTGCGCAGGCGCTGGTTCTGTTTCTCCTACTTCGGGTTCCGGTTCCGGTTTGTCCTTGTTCTTTTTGAAGATGGCTGTGAGTTTGTGCGGTTTTTTTGGCTCTTTGGGTCGAACGTCAGCGCTTTCGGTGTCACTACTAGAAGGAATTGCTATGTTAACATTGAAAATACCGGGTGAAATAAGCAACAGGGCTTATGATAGGCGACCTGATCAGTTTGAAGCACATCCCTTTCACACTGGTATAGGGAATATATTTTGTGAGGGCAAAATAATTCTTTTGAACAACGTTAATGTAGATTCGTATGATGTTCGATTTGGAAAACACGGAAAAGTTGTTGATTTTCGTCTAAGGCCCTCATTTCTAGAGAAGAAGAAGATAATTTAGGCACACCGCCACAGAATTTGGAAGCGAACACTTAGGTCTTGTGATCGTGTCCCATAGGGAAAACCAAAATTTTGGAAAATTTCGAAAATATTGAGAAAATGCAATTATTTTTTTTTTGGAAAACATTTTTATTATCGATTCGTATAGAGTTGGACTTGGAGAACATGAAAAAGTTGATGATTTCTTTCTAGAACCCTTATTTCTCGAAACATTTTCTATATTTCGGAAACCGCTGGGAATTTAGGCACAACGCCACAGAATTTCTAAAGCCGACACTTAGGGCTTGTAATCGTGTCCCATTTTCATTGGTATAGGAAAAACCAAAATTTTGGAAAATTTCGATAATATTAGAAAATGCAATTTTTTTTTGGAAATATTTTTATTATCGATTCGTATAGAGTTTGACCTGGAGAACATGAAAAAGTTGATGATTTTCTTCTAGAGCCTTATTTCCAGGAACATTTTCTATATCTCGGAAACCGCTAATAATTTAGTCACAACGCCACAGAATTTCTAAAGCGGACACTCAGGGCTTGTAATCGTGTCCCATTCACATTGGTATAGGAAAAACCAAAATTTTGGAAAATTTCGAAAATATTAGAAAATGCAACTTTTTTTTGAAAATATTTTTATTATGGATTCGTATAGAGTTTTACCTGGAGAACATGAAAAAGTTGATGATTTTCTTCTAGAGACCTTATTTCCAGGAAAATTTTCTATATCTCGGAAACCGCTGGGAATTTAGTCACAACGCCACAGAATTTCTAAAGCGGACATTTAGGGCTTGTAATCGTGTTCTATTAACATTGGTATGGGAAAAACCAAAATTTTGGAAAATTTCGAAAATATTAGGAAATGCAACTTTTTTTTTGAAAATATTTTTATTATCGATTCGTATAGAGTTTGACCTGGAGAACATGAAAAAGTTGATGATTTTCTTCTAGAGCTCTTATTTCCAGGAAAATTTTCTATATCTCGGAAACCGCTGGGAATTTAGTCACAACGCCACAGAATTTCTAAAGCGGACACTTAGGGCTTGTAATCGTGTTCTATTAACATTGGTATGGGAAAAACCAAAATTTTGGAAAATTTCGAAAATATTAGGAAATGCAACTTTTTTTTGAAAATATTTTTATTATCGATTCGTATAGAGTTTGACCTGGAGAACATGAAAAAGTTGATGATTTTCTTTTAGAGCCCTTATTTCCAGGAACATTTTCTATATCTCGGAAACCGCTGGGAATTTAGTCACAACGCCACAGAATTTCTAAAGCGGACACTTAGGGCTTGTAATCGTGTCCCATTTACATTGGTATAGGAAAAATCAAAATTTTGGAAAATTTCGAAAATATTAGAAAATGCAACTTTTTTTTGAAAATATTTTTATTATGGATTCGTATAGAGTTTGACCTGGAGAACATGAAAAAGTTGATGATTTTCTTCTAGAGACCTTATTTCCAGGAAAATTTTCTATATCTCGGAAACCGCTGGGAATTTAGTCACAACGCCACAGAATTTCTAAAGCGGACATTTAGGGCTTGTAATCGTGTCCCATTTACATTGGTATAGGAAAAATCAAAATTTTGGAAAATTTCGAAAATATTAGAAAATGCAACTTTTTTTTGAAAATATTTTTATTATGGATTCGTATAGAGTTTGACCTGGAGAACATGAAAAAGTTGATGATTTTCTTCTAGAGACCTTATTTCCAGGAAAATTTTCTATATCTCGGAAACCGCTGGGAATTTAGTCACAACGCCACAGAATTTCTAAAGCGGACACTTAGGGCTTGTAATCGTGTTCTATTAACATTGGTATGGGAAAAACCAAAATTTTGGAAAATTTCGAAAATATTAGGAAATGCAAATTTTTTTGAAAATGTTTTTATTATCGATCCGTATAGAGTTAGACCTGGAGAACATGAAAAAGTTGATGATTTTCTTCTAGAGCTCTTATTACCAGGAAAATTTTCTATATCTCGGAAACCGCTGGGAATTTAGTCACAACGCCACAGAATTTCTAAAGCGGACATTTAGGGCTTGTAATCGTGTTCTATTAACATTGGTATGGGAAAAACCAAAATTTTGGAAAATTTCGAAAATATTAGGAAATGCAACTTTTTTTTTGAAAATATTTTTATTATCGATTCGTATAGAGTTTGACCTGGAGAACATGAAAAAGTTGATGATTTTCTTCTAGAGACCTTATTTCCAGGAAAATTTTCTATATCTCGGAAACCGCTGGGAATTTAGTCACAACGCCACAGAATTTCTAAAGCGGACACTTAGGGCTTGTAATCGTGTTCTATTAACATTGGTATGGGAAAAACCAAAATTTTGGAAAATTTCGAAAATATTAGGAAATGCAAATTTTTTTGAAAATGTTTTTATTATCGATCCGTATAGAGTTAGACCTGGAGAACATGAAAAAGTTGATGATTTTCTTCTAGAGCTCTTATTACCAGGAAAATTTTCTATATCTCGGAAACCGCTGGGAATTTAGTCACAACGCCACAGAATTTCTAAAGCGGACATTTAGGGCTTGTAATCGTGTTCTATTAACATTGGTATGGGAAAAACCAAAATTTTGGAAAATTTCGAAAATATTAGGAAATGCAACTTTTTTTTTGAAAATATTTTTATTATCGATTCGTATAGAGTTTGACCTGGAGAACATGAAAAAGTTGATGATTTTCTTTTAGAGCCCTTATTTCCAGGAACATTTTCTATATCTCGGAAACCGCTGGGAATTTAGTCACAACGCCACAGAATTTCTAAAGCGGACACTTAGGGCTTGTAATCGTGTCCCATTTACATTGGTATAGGAAAAATCAAAATTTTGGAAAATTTCGAAAATATTAGAAAATGCAACTTTTTTTTGAAAATATTTTTATTATGGATTCGTATAGAGTTTGACCTGGAGAACATGAAAAAGTTGATGATTTTCTTCTAGAGACCTTATTTCCAGGAAAATTTTCTATATCTCGGAAACCGCTGGGAATTTAGTCACAACGCCACAGAATTTCTAAAGCGGACACTTAGGGCTTGTAATCGTGTTCTATTAACATTGGTATGGGAAAAACCAAAATTTTGGAAAATTTCGAAAATATTAGGAAATGCAAATTTTTTTGAAAATGTTTTTATTATCGATCCGTATAGAGTTAGACCTGGAGAACATGAAAAAGTTGATGATTTTCTTCTAGAGCTCTTATTACCAGGAAAATTTTCTATATCTCGGAAACCGCTGGGAATTTAGTCACAACGCCACAGAATTTCTAAAGCGGACATTTAGGGCTTGTAATCGTGTCCCATTTACATTGGTATAGGAAAAATCAAAATTTTGGAAAATTTCGAAAATATTAGAAAATGCAACTTTTTTTTGAAAATATTTTTATTATGGATTCGTATAGAGTTTGACCTGGAGAACATGAAAAAGTTGATGATTTTCTTCTAGAGACCTTATTTCCAGGAAAATTTTCTATATCTCGGAAACCGCTGGGAATTTAGTCACAACGCCACAGAATTTCTAAAGCGGACACTTAGGGCTTGTAATCGTGTTCTATTAACATTGGTATGGGAAAAACCAAAATTTTGGAAAATTTCGAAAATATTAGGAAATGCAACTTTTTTTTTGAAAATATTTTTATTATCGATTCGTATAGAGTTTGACCTGGAGAACATGAAAAAGTTGATGATTTTCTTCTAGAGCTCTTATTTCCAGGAAAATTTTCTATATCTCGGAAACCGCTGGGAATTTAGTCACAACGCCACAGAATTTCTAAAGCGGACACTTAGGGCTTGTAATCGTGTTCTATTAACATTGGTATGGGAAAAACCAAAATTTTGGAAAATTTCGAAAATATTAGGAAATGCAAATTTTTTTGAAAATGTTTTTATTATCGATCCGTATAGAGTTAGACCTGGAGAACATGAAAAAGTTGATGATTTTCTTCTAGAGCTCTTATTACCAGGAAAATTTTCTATATCTCGGAAACCGCTGGGAATTTAGTCACAACGCCACAGAATTTCTAAAGCGGACATTTAGGGCTTGTAATCGTGTCCCATTTACATTGGTATAGGAAAAATCAAAATTTTGGAAAATTTCGAAAATATTAGAAAATGCAACTTTTTTTTGAAAATATTTTTATTATGGATTCGTATAGAGTTTGACCTGGAGAACATGAAAAAGTTGATGATTTTCTTCTAGAGACCTTATTTCCAGGAAAATTTTCTATATCTCGGAAACCGCTGGGAATTTAGTCACAACGCCACAGAATTTCTAAAGCGGACACTTAGGGCTTGTAATCGTGTTCTATTAACATTGGTATGGGAAAAACCAAAATTTTGGAAAATTTCGAAAATATTAGGAAATGCAACTTTTTTTTTGAAAATATTTTTATTATCGATTCGTATAGAGTTTGACCTGGAGAACATGAAAAAGTTGATGATTTTCTTCTAGAGCTCTTATTTCCAGGAAAATTTTCTATATCTCGGAAACCGCTGGGAATTTAGTCACAACGCCACAGAATTTCTAAAGCGGACACTTAGGGCTTGTAATCGTGTTCTATTAACATTGGTATGGGAAAAACCAAAATTTTGGAAAATTTCGAAAATATTAGGAAATGCAACTTTTTTTTGAAAATATTTTTATTATCGATTCGTATAGAGTTTGACCTGGGGAACATGAAAAAGTTGATGATTTTCTTCTAGAGACCTTATTTCCAGGAAAATTTTCTATATCTCGGAAACCGCTGGGAATTTAGTCACAACGCCACAGAATTTCTAAAGCGGACACTTAGGGCTTGTAATCGTGTTCTATTAACATTGGTATGGGAAAAACCAAAATTTTGGAAAATTTCGAAAATATTAGAAAATGCAACTTTTTTTTTGAAAATATTTTTATTATGGATTCGTATAGAGTTTGACCTGGAGAACATGAAAAAGTTGATGATTTTCTTTTAGAGTCCTTATTTCCAGGAACATTTTCTATATCTCGGAAAACGCTAGGAGTTTAGGCACAACGCCACAGAATTTCTAAAGCGGACACTTAGGGCTTGTAATCGTGTTCTATTAACATTGGTATGGGAAAAACCAAAATTTTGGAAAATTTCGAAAATATTAGGAAATGCAACTTTTTTTGAAAATGTTTTTATTATCGATCCGTATAGAGTTTGACCTGGAGAACATGAAAAAGTTGATGATTTTCTTCTAGAGACCTTATTTCCAGGAAAATTTTCTATATCTCGGAAACCGCTGGGAATTTAGTCACAACGCCACAGAATTTCTAAAGCGGACACTTAGGGCTTGTAATCGTGTTCTATTAACATTGGTATGGGAAAAACCAAAATTTTGGAAAATTTCGAAAATATTAGGAGATGCAACTTTTTTTTGAAAATATTTTTATTATGGATTCGTATAGAGTTTGACCTGGAGAACATGAAAAAGTTGATGATTTTCTTCTAGAGACCTTATTTCCAGGAAAATTTTCTTTATCTCGGAAACCGCTGGGAGTTCAGGCACAACGCCACAGAAATTCTAAAGCGGACACTTAGGGCTTGTAATCGAGCCCCATTAACATTGGTATAGGAAAAACCAAAATTTTGGAAAATTTCGAAAATATTAGAAAACGCAATTTTTTTTGAAAATATTTTTATTATCGATTCGTATAGAGTTTGACCTGGAGAACAAGAAAAAGTTGATGATTTTCTTCCAGAGCCCTTATTTCCAGGAAAATTTTCTATATTTCGGAAACCGCTGGGAGTTTAGGCACAACGCCACAGAATTTCTAAAGCGGACACTTAGGGCTTGTAATCGTGTCCCATTAACATTGGTATAGGAAAAACCAAAATTTTGGAAAATTTCGAAAATATTAGAAAATGCTACTTTTTTTGAAAATATTTTTATTATCGATTCGTATAGAGTTTGACCTGGAGAACATGAAAAAGTTGATGATTTTCTTCTAGAGCCCTTATTTCCCGAAAAATTTTCTATATCTCGGAAACCGCTGGGAATTTAGTCACAACGCCACAGAATTTCTAAAGCGGACACTTAGGGCTTGTAATCGTGTCCCATTTACATTGGTATAGGAAAAACCAAAATTTTGGAAAATTTCGAAAATATTAGAAAATGCAACTTTTTTTTGAAAATATTTTTATTATCGATTCGTATAGAGTTTGACCTGGAGAACATGAAAAAGTTGATGATTTTCTTCTAGAGCCCTTATTTCCAGGAAAATTTTCTATATTTCGGAAACCGCTGGGAGTTTAGGCACAACGCCACAGAATTTCTAAAGCGGACACTTAGGGCTTGTAATCGTGTCCCATTAACATTGGTATAGGAAAAACCAAAATTTTGGAAAATTTCGAAAATGCAATTTTTTTTTGAAAATATTTTTATTATCGATTCGTATAGAGTTCGACCTGGAGAACATGAAAAAGTTGATGATTTTCTTCTAGAGCCCTTATTTCCAGGAAAATTTTCTATATCTCGGAAACCGCTGGGAATTTAGGCACAACGCCACAGAATTTCTAAAGCGGACACTTAGGGCTTGTAATCGTGTCCCATTAACATTGGTATAGGAAAAACCAAAATTTTGGAAAATTTCGAAAATATTAGAAAATGCTACTTTTTTTGAAAATGTTTTTATTATCGATTCGTATAGAGTTTGACCTGGAGAACATGAAAAAGTTGATGATTTTCTTCTAGAGCCCTTATTTCCCGAAAAATTTTCTATATCTCGGAAACCGCTGGGAATTCAGGCACAACGCCACAGAATTTCTAAAGCGGACACTTAGGGCTTGTAATCGAGCCCCATTAACATTGGTATAGGAAAAACCAAAATTTTGGAAAATTTCGAAAATATTAGAAAACGCAATTTTTTTTGAAAATATTTTTATTATCGATTCGTATAGAGTTTGACCTGGAGAACAAGAAAAAGTTGATGATTTTCTTCCAGAGCCCTTATTTCCAGGAAAATTTTCTATATTTCGGAAACCGCTGGGAGTTTAGGCACAACGCCACAGAATTTCTAAAGCGGACACTTAGGGCTTGTAATCGTGTCCCATTAACATTGGTATAGGAAAAACCAAAATTTTGGAAAATTTCGAAAATATTAGAAAATGCAACTTTTTTTGAAAATATTTTTATTATCGATTCGTATAGAGTTTGACCTGGAGAACATGAAAAAGTTGATGATTTTCTTCTAGAGCCCTTATTTCCAGGAAAATTTTCTATATCTCGGAAACCGCTGGGAATTTAGGCACAACGCCACAGAATTTCTAAAGCGGACACTTAGGGCTAGTAATCGTGTCCCATTTACATTGGTATAGGAAAAACCAAAATTTTGGAAAATTTCGAAAATATTAGAAAATGCAACTTTTTTTTGAAAATATTTTTATTATCGATTCGTATAGAGTTTGACCTGGAGAACATGAAAAAATTGATGATTTTCCTCTAGAGTCCTTATTTCCTGGAAAATTTTCTATATCTCGGAAACCGCTGGGAATTTAGGCACAACGCCACAGAATTTCTAAAGCAGACACTTAGGGCTTGTAATCGTGCCCCATTAACATTGGTATAGGAAATACCAAAATTTTGGAAAATTTCGAAAATATTAGAAAACGCAATTTTTTTTGAAAATATTTTTATTATCGATTCGTATAGAGTTTGACCTGGAGAACAAGAAAAAGTTGATAATTTTCTTCTAGGGCCCTTATTTCTCGAAAAATTTTCTATATCTCGGAAACCGCTGGGAATTTAGTCACAACGCCACAGAATTTCTAAAGCGGACACTAAGGGCTTGTAATCGTGTCCCATTAACATTGGGATAGAAAACATAAAAATTTTGGGAAATTTTGAAAATTTTAGAGAATATGCAACAAAAGCATACTTACGATTCTCCAATGTGTCTTAGCTCCCTGTCACTCTCTCCTGCAAAATCAATTGGCATATCATTTTTTGTATAAGAATACATAATAATCACTGCACTTCACATCCACTCATCGATTCTTTTGTGATATTCTTTTTCGAATTTACCTTTTCTGTCTAACATTAAGGAATCAATCATTGAAATAAAAAATATCAAATTACTTATCTCATTTCTTTATTTATAAAACAAGTTATAATTAATTTATCCAACTTATTCTATATACCTTTAAGTACATATAACATACAAAATTTTTACATTAATTTCTTTAATCTTCATAAATACTTATCAAGTGAGATTTATAGTCAGTTTTACAAAATCATCTTCTTGGATTAAAAATAATATGAGTACAATATTCGAAAAAGGAATTTGTAAAACTGCCCCCAAATGGATGAAATATATCATAAAAAAGTCAGTAAGATGAACAATCTGAAAGATAACATTACACATATATCTAATCAAACTTATATAATATGTGAATCATATTTTATTGTCCTCTATCATACAAAAAATATTACATATTCGTCATGTCATAATATCTTAAAATACAAAACATCGATAAATGTGAGCTTTTGCTTGAAAATGTCATGTCATAAAGTCATAATAAATGGAACAATACAATATAATATCATTTTTCCAACCAAAACAAAATTTGATGAATTTTGAAGTGCCCATAAAATGAACTCTTTTTATGTGAGCGAGATATTCCGATTTCAATTTCAGTTTGTACCTCAAAACCCGAATCACCTTGTATATATATATGCGTTTTTTTAAAATAAACATTCTTCCGGAAGTAATCCTGCTCCGTTTTCGTTGGCCTGCTTGGTACAACCAGTTGCCAATGAGCAATAAATTTGAAAAAATACAGGGTGAACCATTTATGATCAAAAGTTCAATCAAACAAGAGAAATATCAACAAATGCGAAATATCACCAATTTTGGGCTCAAAAGATTCCAAAATCTCATTAGATTGTTCATTTTAGGGCAATTCAAAATACAAATTACTATGAATACGAATAAAATTTGTCTCGATTTGTAGATGACAAACAAATTCTCATTTTCCGTGATTCTATTTGATATCCTTTGAGTGACGAAATTATTCTGCGAAAAAGTACTTAAAACATATCTGATTTGATTGGATTTTTAAACTTATGGCAGTAAATATTTTTCAGTTTGTAAAATATAAAATTATAGCGCAGTGTATCAAAAGGTAATAATAATATATAAATAACACAAATATTTTTATATTTTATAGTCGAATACTGAAAATATAGAGTATATTGTGATCGAGCATACATCCAAAAATATACATTGGGTGACAACAAATAGAGTGAATATTCCGATAACAGCAAACTATATCAAAGTTGGACCGCCTTAATTAAAAAAAAAATCACCCACAGATTCATTAAATATTTATACTAACGTACTCTTAGTACTATAACATATTCTTGAGAAAATCAGTAAACTCAACAAGTTGAACAAGAATATCTATAGAGCTGGTACATTCATCAATATAGAATTTTCCACAGGTCAACATAAAATGTCGATTATTTACATATAATTCCTAATAGACAACATTTTTGGAAATACCTAACCTAAGGATAGCAGTCATTGAATTTATTTTAGAACAGTGACACCAACATAAATATTCGATGTTATATTGATTGCACTGTGGCGATGACATCAACATATTTATTTATACACTTATATTCGGACTATGGTCATAATCGACTAATAAATCATTAGCAGCCCGTTTCAATATTCACATTTCTTTCTTACTTTTTCTATGTCACGAAGTTGTAGAATGGTTAATACTTTTTCAGAGATCGAAATATTCGTATCCAAACTTCAGGGCATCACATGCCCTTCAAAAAATATGTATACAAAATAATTTTGGAGAAGCGAATCAACTATACCTCTTGAGAAAACGATCGATCGTCAATCGTTCATCAAAAATTATTATCTTGAGAAAAACTATTCAAATCGATTCTCTCCCACTTATTTCATTCAGGTATAATCAACCCACCTCTAACATGAGGGTATTCTATTCCAATTCAAACTTGGCAACGTTTGATTCTAAAACAGCGGATGAAATAACATGTATTTACCTAAGGAACGGTAGTTCGTATAGTGCTACGTGAATTTGATATTCGATAGTAACAAGAATATGAAGATCGTGGCACTGCGTTTTTATTTCACACATTGTTATTTGACGAATAATGATTTCACGCATTATCATTATATCCATGATCATTTCACGCATTGTTATTTCACGCGAATGTTCAGTCATCTTTTCCAAAATATCAAATTTCTTCAAATACAATCGGTATTATTGCTCATGAAAAATATCCCGTCTAAACCAGCGAGTGAATAATAATAAAATTATACGAATTTATCTCAGAGAGGATACTTCGCATCGGGATACGTGAATTTAATATCCAAGTGACATATGAAGATCATGGCACTACGTTTTCATTTAAAACATTATAATTTCACGCATAATTTCACGAATTGTTATTTCACGCATTGTTATTGCACGCGAAAGTTCAGCCAACTTTTTCAAAACATCAATTTTTCTCGAATACAGTCGTTATCATCGTGCATGAAAAACAGCCGGTCTGAAACAGCAGATGAATATACTTGAAATCACACGAATTAACCTGCGGAAGTGTGATTTCGATACCCGAGTGACAACAATATGGAGATCATTGCACTGCATTTTCACATCACGCATTGTTATTTCACGTATGTTTTCATGCATTATCATTCCACGCATTGTTATTTCACGCATTATCATTTCACGTATTGTTATTTCACGCATTATTATTTCAAGTATTGTTATTTCACGCGACATTTAGTCACGTCAGTCGAGAGAAATCACATCGATACCACGTTCAGGAATAGAATACCCTAGAAAATGGAATGTCAAAAGACCGTAAGAAACGTGCGAGAAAACGAAATACAACCCACGAATACATTATCACTTATGCGTCGAAAAAAATGACCTCATTGACGTCGCATTACACCGCCGTATCGATTTTTTCGTCTTTTTTGATTGGCAAATCGTTACCGTTGATGTATTCGGACGACACCTGGTGGTGGGGGTTGTCGACACCGTCCCCGCTGACACCGTCCGAATGGGGGGGTTGGCCGTTTTCGCCCCCCGTCGTGTAGTCTATCACTGTAGCGCCCCCTACAACAAATAAAAGCTAATAGGTAGGTGGTCACAGTCCCGATTTGTCTATTTTTATTTAGCGGTCGAGGATATTCTACGCAGGACGGAATTTCGCATGGACAAACTTTCGCTGGGACAAAATTTTCCTCGTAAGGACTGAATTTCGCAAGGATGAAGTGTTACAGGTGATAAATCTTGAAGTGACAAGATATCGCACAGAAGATCGTCCGCAGGAACAATCGTATTGTTGATCGTACTGTTTATGATTCATCTAGCCTTCTTCTGACTTCTGACATGCAGAATATAACCAACTTCTATCAATTAGCTATCCCCATTGTTTTGCTGGGGCAAAATTTTGCGAGGGCAATATTTCTCAAGGACAAAACTTCGCATGAACAGAACAACATTTTTCAGGAACAAAATGTCGAAGCGAATACTGCTGGGACAAACTTCCCCATGACAAAATTAATAAATTTCATTTTGTTGGTGCTTTGTCCAGCGTTCAACTGACTGCAGCATCTGCAATATCTATCAATGAAGTAGATCGAACTCAATATCAAACTAATTTTGTGATGACTATTCCACTCTTGATCTCGAGAACCAATAAGAATCGACCATTTTCAGGGTTTCTTCTGTATTCTAGCGATATTTTTTGTTTATTGAATTTTATCGGACTTACTCTACCAATACAGAAGCCGAATTGACCCACACGTGACCAAGAAACCTCGTTCATCAGTGATAAAATTTTGACATCGTGTCTGGTCAAGATTGCTTTGAATTCAAATCTGAGACAATAACCTAAATAAGTTCCTACTTTATTTTATTTACTTATAATTCGCGTTAGTGAGATATTTTGTACGAATGGCGAGACAATTTTATTCTGGCTGGACGTTTCATGTGTAATTTAAAAAGTTTGCATATTTGTTAACGGTCTGACACAACAATAATACTAGAATTCAAATTCCTTTTTAAAGTAATCTTCTTCAATCACTCAACTTATTGTGACTCACTAATATAATTACCAGCTGATGTAGCGCTGTTAGAGTTGTTGCGCGAGGATACGAAGGTCGATGGTTCGAGCCCTCGGCGACGATATCTTTTTTTTTTTTAATGATTCCATGTCACATAAATTCAATTTATTTTGTTTGAATCGGATAGCAATTGTATACACTCTTTTGAGAGCAACCATCTCTAAGATAATAAAAAAATACTGTTTATCAAAATTGTACATTCCACTTTGTGAATAACTATAAGTAGGTAGTTAATTTCTAAAAAAGTAAATTCTGTATTTCATTACTATCATTATGTTCTTCTTCGCAGTTCGAGTTGGAATATACTTAAATTATGTTTCCTATTTCTTATATATATATATATATATATTGTCTCATTCAATCATGAAATAGTCATACGAATACAACTCGTGATACTATTTTTCCTGGAAATATTCGTCGATTGACATACTCCAGCTTGCTGCTCTAATTTCGCTCATGACATGACATGACATGACATAACAATGTCATTAACGAAATTACTAGGCAACAAGCTGTCGTAACAATCAACAAATATTTCCGGCAAAATATTATCACTTGTGGTATTATATATGAGAATATCTCTCATTGCCCACAAAAAGACTGTCCATGCGATTAGGATAGTTCTTAGACATTTTGATAGATTCACAAGTTTCCAATAATTTTGCCTCATTACCAATGAATGCAATGAAATTAAATATGATTTTAGTTAGGCAAAGTCTTACATATGAATGAAATCCTTTTGGCACTATCCACAAATCCAAAGGAGGAATTTTCATCGTCGCATTAATCAAAAAAATCACATCGTCTATTCCGTTATATGAATAAAATATCTCAGACCACCAGAGAGAGGCAAGCAATGGTAATAATATTAACGAGGTGAAATTCGGCAATGAAATAGAAAATGCCATAATAGTTTTACAAAAAAAAACAATTCAGAATTGATTAAATGAATCCAAACAAACAGATTAAAGTAACATAATAATAACGTTGATTTTCAAGTTACAACTCTTGACTCAGGAACATGCTCCTCGAGTTCGTTAAGTACCTACGTCATGCAACACCCTGTGTAGTAGGAAAAATCTTGATTACTGAATAGTAAAAATGAAATTCTCGCTAATTATTGAACTGCACTTACATTGTGATGTATAGTTAAACAATATTTTATGAATCGTGAGCTTTTGAAGTATCATTCTGAATGAAAAACTGAAGGTATTTTATAGTTTGACGTATTGAAATTCATGCAGAGAAAACGATGCTCATAAATTCTTGCTCCAGCGATCAGTAAGAAGATAAATTGAATTTCAATTGATAATGAAGTTTTACTCCAATTTGTGAAATATTTTTCGAAGTGTGAGGCAATTTTGGGATTCAATTAACCAATACAGATTCCTTCATAAATAACTACGTAGATACGTCATGCAACACATCTCTAACAAATCATTTTTCTATATGCACATGCTCCCAAACAAAACAAAAAAACTACACCCAAATATCCGAAGGACTTACCACATTACTTGCCTCTGGGATATTAGCTTTTATTTGGTGTTTCACACAAAGAGAGGGTAAAGTTACTATATAATAGGACATTGGACATAACATATTGAGGCGGAAATATATGCAGAAAACATACGTCGTCATATCTGTTGGCGATTCAAGCGATGTTTTATTCATAGAAACTCGTCAAAGAACCAAAGGGAAAGTTTCGGAAATCTGAAACGTATTCGTCTAGATATATTTGCCTCAAAACATACATTACATTTGAATCTATAGGTACTACACTTGGTTCTTAATAAACAAAAAAGGTAGATTCGAAAACAAACAGGGAACAAACCCGAATGACAAAAAAAAACAAAACAGGAAAAGAACCCACTCATACTCTACATACTGATTGACAAAACCACCAAAAATAAAAGAGATACTCACCGCTGAAACACCACCTGCCAGTCACTTTGGCGAAAATCAAAATTGACGCTACCATAATCACAAACAGTATTACAGCTACTACTCCTATGATTGCTCCAATACTCAGTTCAAAACCTGAAAAAAAACATAATAAATTCGGGTTATTGACGTTATATTGAGAATTCATGCCGACTATTCACTTTGAATAGCTCTTCATTTAATATTCAAATATCTTATCGATTCTTCAATGTAAATCTGAATTTTATCGAAGGCAAGCAAGAAAACTTGGATTGGCACCCAGCAAAATCAAGATTATACATTCAGTCGTAATTTATCAACAGTAAGTAGGTAATTCGGAAATGAATTCTGATTCCAAAGTATTCGAAACTACTAACAACTGCTAGTAATTCTTCCGACGAAATATCTTTATCTTTTCGTATTTCAAATATATGGATATACTGAAACTCACCATAAATTCTTTGCCTAAAGAATTTTTGAATGCCTGCATGTGAGCGTGGAAATGGGGTAGAAACTTTAAAAAATATTTTTTTGTGCACTCCACTAACCGAAAATTTCAAGAAAATCACAGTAAATTCATTCCAAACAACCAAACTTTGATTATCTCTCAACAGTTTTCTTCTAATTGAGTTAAAAAATACTAACTATTATTGTACTATACATGCAGAATACCCAAATGATCTTTTGCGATATAATTTTTCATTACTACTTTCATATACCATTATATTCTTGAAACTTTGGTCTACATAATTTCACTTATGAAACCCTCAGAAAAATGTCTTGGTGCTTACCTTCTGGTTCGGGGCTAGTCGAAATTTTGATCCTGTAGTTTTGAGTGCCCATATCGTTGTATGCCACTAACGTGTAATCGGTCTCGGTATCTTGTTTGGTGACGGCAGCTAACCTCAAATTGGCTTCGTACCTCCCTCTACCCTGAAATACGTTCAGAATCACCACCTACATTCGTTCAGCTTCAAGCTCATTGAATGTCAATCCACCTATTCTATGCCACAACAATGAGGTAACGCTCAGAATTATGGAAATATAGATTCTCATAAGCTTGGTAGAATCTCTCTAAAATGTTATATGAGTAGCCCAACAACGCAAAATAATCAAGGCTTAGCTGAAATATTGGTTATCATAATCTCATCTGACTTACGCTAAACCACCAATCAGAAAGTGACGATCCCTATTTGATAGAGAATGCTCTCAGCCTCCCTACTACTATATAACTTCTATATGAAAAATGTCTGTTAGCATAAATGTAACTGATTGGAATGCGATTACTGTTATCTGAAAGGTGAGTAGTCCATGACAACCATTACGACAGATCTGATTTCATAAGAATATTTCATGCGATAAAATAGGAGCTGAATAACGATAGACAACTTATCGGAAAGTGGTAATCCATCTTTGAAACAGAACCTACTCTGCCCATCTATTACATAATATCATAGATGGGCATTTCACCGATGTAGATTTCACAGTTCCTCTCAAACTCCCACAATTCCTCTCAAACTCTCATAATTTCCGATGAAATTTCTACAATTCAACTCAAATTCTCCTATTTTCATCAGATACTGAATATTGAAATCCCTCAATTTCTCATGATTTCTAGTCACTTGTACACCAGAATTTTCATCTGAAATTCCCGTTGCATATCATGGAAATATCATATCTGATATCTAGGACTTTCGAACATTTGAATCAGGTTTTTGTTGTTGTAATTGGAGCTAGAGATATATACCTAACATTTAGACATCAATATTATTGTTATAAGTCGAATTAGTTTTCGAGGTGGAGTAGAATCTGGAATGTTAAGAATCTTTAGACAACAAACAAACAGTTGAGCCTACTAAAACATTGACGCTAATGCTACTGTGGTGAAATAATTGAATCCAATCGACCAACCAACCAATCAATGATTTAGAATTCATCTTCGACACAAAACTACCTTCGTATATCTACTAACTTTAGCTGATTCAAATCTAGTTCTCATTGGATTGTGGTCCAACCTGCACGATGTTTTTTTTTTAAGTGGAGCTGCGATCTGTAGTGTGATTACCTTTTCTGACGAATCTATTTTTTTTTCAATTCAATGAGATATAAACTGAAATGTTGAGTGTTTTTTGGCAGCAAACTAACAGGCGAGCCTACAAAAACAATAATCTTAAAGCTATACAGCGGTGAAAAGATTCAAATGGGGAAACCCTACCTTATCTGACTCCAATCGATGAGTTAAAATATATCTTCGATGCAGAACTCCCTTCACCTATCTACTAACTTTCACTCATTTTAATCTGATTTTTATTATTAGATTGTGGTCCAACCTTCACAAAGAGTGTTCAGCAACAAATGGTTACCGTGATACATTGCTATTTTATAATTGTATATTCAGTACCTCTAGACAACAAACTAACAGTCGAGCTTATAAAAACGATAATATTAAAGCTACTAGTGTGTCGACACAACTCGAATAGAAACACTCTGGCTCCAGTCGACCAAATAACCAACCAATCAATAAGTGCAAATCCATCTTTGACACAGAACTCTCTTCGCCTATCTACTAACTTCCGCTGATTTGAATCTAGTTCTCATTGGATTGTGGTTCAACTTAGACAATGAATATTTTCCGGGTAAAATGTAAGCTGGAAAGTTCAGTGTGTCTTACCATCTCTCTAACGGTTTCAGCTTCGATTCTCCCGGTATTGTCTGTGGCACCCTCTCGGATAGTCTGACCACCAATTGTCCATTCTATCTGCGGTTTGGGGTTGGCTTCGATGGTGACATTGATGAGGCCTACTCTGCCAAGTTGGTAGCCGAATTTGTCTATCGGTTCGTAGATAGCGAGTGGTGCAACTGAAAATAACATGAATCAATGGAAAAATTAGTTGAACTTTGTGATGTTCAAGATGGTCGTGGAAAAGAATATGCCAACTTACGAAAAATGAGAATTGGCCTTTCCAGTATCGTAAAATTTTAACCTTTTTCGCTATCATGTTATGAAGGGAAGTCGAAAACGTTATCCTGACCACATATTTATCGATGAAATCGAACAGAAAATTAATTATTCGATATTGAGAATGCTATGCCTGTGAATTCAATAGCCACTGAGCTGTGATGTCAGCGTCGTCTTACAATTTGATTGGTTGGAAAGCACGCCGCTGTTGTCAAGCCTCTATAAAACCCTCGAAAAGATCTCATTTGCAAGATGGTGCAAGGAATGCCATGATTAGAGATCACTATGTAGTGATTAGTTGATTGGTGATTCACTGCTAATCACATTCAATTTTCTCTGAACTCCGAAATATTCCATCAGTTTCAAGATTATCTAGGATGACACAGGCATCTAACAGTAAGGTGCTCTTCATATGGTTTCGTTTAAGTTATGATGTTATGATTTTGTTGACTAATTGTTTTAATCAACAAACTAAACAATGTCAAGTACTCATTCCCGGAAAATGTAATTTTCCCGGAAAATGTAATTACTAAAGTGGCAACGGCAACTATGTTCACAAGAGAAAGAGATGAAGCAACTGGCGCTAACACAATGTTGCCAAGTTAAAATTTCTTTTTGTGAGGGTATTACCGATCCAAATTGCTCGAGAACTGACTTCACACTTTTCGCGGTTATGTCTGATCGTTTGAAATCGCTCCTGCGTTTTGGCGTCTTAACAAATTTTTTATACGATGAATTGATGAAGAAAAATCTCAAAAAATTATTTTTATGTATTCCAGAACTATACAGGCTGATTCACGGTGGATGGCACATTAGACGTTTCTGGTGAACCAGACAACGGATCATTTTGAAAATTCAATGGAGGGCATATTCGGACATTCTCTAGCCAACTAAAATATTTTCGACAATGCGGTGTTGCCGCTTCCATTAGAAAGCAGTAGCAACTTTGATTTTTCAAATGGAACACTCTGTATTTTATTGCATTTTAAGATTCTCCCTGGAGAGCAGATTTCATCGATGTATCACACTTGGGGTCTAGCGGAAATGATTACAGAGATATAGGGTGTGAAAAATCGACATTTTTCAACTTTAGGAATTTTTTTTGTCGAAACTATTCATTATTGGTCAAAACGGCTCACATGTCCCTATCTCAACTTTTGATCAATTATCTACTAACATTTAATTGAAACAAATACAGGGTGGTGCAGAATTCAGAATCTTGATCACCCGGTATATGTCCCAATTAAATATCAGTAGATAGTTAATCAAAAGTTGAGATAGGGACATGTAAGCCGTTTTGACCAATGATGAATAGTTTCGACACAAAAAAATCCTAAAGTTGAAAAATGTCAATTTTTCACACCCTATATCTCTGTAATAATTTCCGCTAGACCCCAAGTGTGATACATCGATGAAATCAGCTCTTCAGGGAGAATCTAAAAATGCAATAAAATACAGAGTGTTCCATTTGAAAAATCAAAGTTGCTACTGCTTTCTAATAGAAGCGGCAACACCGCATTGTCGAAAATATTTTAGTTGGCTAGAGAATGTCCGAATATGCCCTCCATTGAATTTTCAAAATGATCCGTTGTCTGGTTCACCAGAAACGTCTAATGTGCCATCCACCGTGAATCAGCCTGTATACAGGGTGTTTCGAAATTCGACCGACAACGGTTCACAGGAGGTAGCTCTCGTGATTTGGTGAATGAGGAGGTAGGACCATAAGGGTCCCACGTGATTAGTTATCGAGTTACAGGGTGTTGAAGCTGGAGAAAAAAAATTGTTTATTCGCAATAACTCAAAAACGGCTGATCTTTCTTTATTCAAATTCGGAAAGTGAATCAATATTGAGGATCTTCGATTCAAGACGGAAAATTCATGATCAACAATTCCTCCAGTGGCGCCGTTGAACGATATGATTGATTGATTTTGCAAAAAAGAAATGTGTTGTGATTATATATGAATTTTCGAAATTTCATGTGGTATTATTGAAGGCCATTTAATTTTGATTAAAAAAGGCTCACTTGATTGAACTCGAAAGAACCCATCATTTCCGAGAAAAAACGAAAAATGTGATTAGTCTTCAAATTTTTTTACTCAAAATTGTTCAACATAAAACTACAAAAATATCAACTCGAAATTATAATAACTGTTCGAAGTTCTAACCATTGATTTGTTGACACATTGTGCATCGTCTTCTCATCGCAAAACGCGTATTCTAAAATATCTCACGGTTAGTATTTATGATTTCCGTTGCAGCCTGTATTCTTGCAATAAGTTTCCCCTCAGTTACAACAATGGTGTACACTAAGGATTTCATATTACCCCAAAGAAAAAAATCGATCGGATTCAGATCTGGTGACCTAGGGGGCCATAAGTGAGGACCACCACGTCCATTCCATTGGTCACCAAATCTTCCACTGAGTAATGCTCTTGCACTTTTGTCGAAATGTGCAGACGCACCATCATGTTGGAACCACATGTTCCTTCTGATGATCCTTCTAAATTATTTTCATTTCCCAACTTCAACACCCTGTAACTCGATAACTAAGCACGTGGGACCCTTATGTTCCTACCTCATTATTCACCAAATCATGAGAGCTACCTCTTGTGAAGCGTTGTCGGTCGAATTTCGAAACACCCTGTATATATTTCTAGATATTCATTTTTTTCTGAAAATAACTGGAAAGGCTCATTGTGGCAAAACATATGATGAATAGAATGATTCTTTTTGACATCACTTACATTTGACATCTAACTGCCTTTTGGTTTCTGCATAATGGTTCGGATACGCAGGATGGATTGCTACGCATTTCAAGTATTTGCCATTATCGGAAGGTTGCAGAACCCTTGTCAAGTTTTGTATTTTGGATTGCAAGTTCTCTTTCGCCAAATCGATCACAGTAGGCCTTTTCAAACCTGCATCACTGATTTGTTCATCATCTAGAAAAAATGGCGTGTAGTAATAGTACTATGAATGGATAATATAGACTAATATACCGGTTGACTCAGTTGTTTTTCAGGTAAGAATTTTGAAATTCGAATCGTTCATATAGATCCTTGAAACCCATTCTTTTCGTGGAAAACCAATTCTATATTACTTCCGGTTTCACCGGAAATTGACTTAGGTCAAGAATTTTTAATGCAAAATAATACAATTTCAATAATACAAGGTGTTTCGTAATATGTGGAACTCACTTCGAGAGGGCGTCTCAAGAAAATAAAAAAGTTCCCATGAACAAAAATAGATGGCTTCGTTTGCGAGATACAATTGTAGTGAAAAATAAAAAAAAACAATTTTTAAACTATTCCACAAATTCATAGCACATTGAAAACAGAACCAGGATAATAATTCACAATGGAACTATTGACATGAAATTATGCAAAACGGAAAATTTGTTCTTTGTCACTTCGTGAAAAACTAGTATATACACTATTTCTGTTTGCTTTGATCCTAGTATCAATACTTCCAATAGAAAAACTAGTTAACTGAATTATTAATTGGGCTTTCAATGTTTTAATAACAGATGATAATAAGTATCGATGAAAATGGCCAACCTACAAATTTCGACGTTCAGTAATCCAAAAATGATTACGAATATCAATATGGATGTTGAGATGAAAAATTGTTTCGATTTTACAACAACCAATATATGGGGTATTCCATTCGAAAAAATTGAACGAAATCACTTCGAAAAGTTCCGAATTGAAAAATCATTTTCAGCCACCCTGTTCAATTTGAGAACATGAAAATTCTTCAGAAATATCACGCATCTTTCCACCGAATGATATTATGATTATTGTCTCCCAAATTTTATAATTGTAACGATAGTGATAATTTCGGTATGCATCTGCAGATGACATTATTCCGAAAAAAAAGTTGAAATGATCGATCTATAGTCAACGATATCATAGAAGTGGATGAAGGTCATAGAAATGTGCTGATATACAGGGCATTCCATTTGAAGAAAGTGATCCAGACCCTCTAGATTTTTTTCGGTGCCCCCTGTATATGCGGCAACAATTTTCAGCTATGGATCTTATTGTCTCATTCACATTCGTTTTTGATCTGAGCATATTCCTTTTCAATACTTTCATACCCAATCATGGGGTTCAAACTTGAACGATGGAAGCTTGTTATTTTTATAGAAATTGGGTTTTCTCAATTCAGAATCTCTCCACATCCTGTATGTTGAATATCAATTCGTCATACATCCAAAAACAACTATTAGCGATAGAAAATGAGCCCACGCCACCTATCAAAGTTTTTGAAAGCTGTCAAAGTGGTCTGTTTACTTTGTTTCTATTGTTTCACATTTGTTTTTTGTTTCTGATTATTGGATAATCCTTCAAAACAAACTGATCAGAAGTGTTCAAATTGTTGCTGTCAGATGGGGCGACGTGCCATTTTCTATCGCGAATATCACCGTTCCGAATTTCGAAATTGTAACCTAAAAAACAACTGGATGACGCCTTGTCCAATGGGTTGCGTGCAAGAACTGTCAGATGACCGACACTGGAGGCAAAACATTGAAACACAACGTCACTTTTCTTATTTGTTTACGAGTGATCGAAATAGTTTTCCACAATTATTTTGGCATATGAATCGTATTTTTCCGCTATTCATCAATCCGCTCATGCCATCACATTGTGCTGTTGTAAAATGCACAAAAACTGCAGCGGAAGATGAAGCAATCCGGATGGTACATTATAATTTAAAAAAGTAAGTACCTACTTGTGATGTCTTGTTTTACATCCTGTATTTTATATAATAAAAAAAACAAGATAATTTGTTGACAAAAAATGATATTCAGTTGTTAATATATGTAATTGGAAGAAACGAAATACATACGATTCAATTTGGAAAAGAACCTTTAATCAGACGAAATATTTGAGAACCTTTAATCAGACGAAATATTTGGTCCTTCGAGCCGGATAAGCTACAGTTATGGAGAAAGTAAATGGAAATGAAGATGCCCGACCAAGAAGAGAGAGTGCTGGTATAAACCGAAATTTGACCACTGATTTTGTGTGGCCAGTAGGGTTTGGTACAGGAAATACAGACCTTGGTAGTTCCTTGCCCATTACTGAAAGCAGCCGTGAACCTCCTCTTAGTGCAGACATATCTTTATTGCCAGTGATTCCAGAAAATCAAAATCAGTCCATTATCGTTGAATATGTCAAGGAAAGTGACAAGTCAATTATTGAAACTGACATGAAATCAGTGATTTCGCTGAGCCAACGCCAACATCCAAGTAGAAAAAGTGTAAGAAGCAGTGTTTCCAGACTATCTTCTAGAGCTTCTCAAGCATCTTTAGCATTACAGAAGAAAAGACTTGCACTCCAGGTGGAAAAAGAAAGACAAGAACTAGAACGAATGAAGGAGAACTTAGAAATAGAGAAGAAACAGAGAGAAATTGAAGATAAAATGAAAATACTGCACATGGAACATGAATTGAGAAATGCAGAGATCGATGTTGCAGAAGAAGAGGAACAATCCGATGATCAGTCCTTGCCAAGAAGTGAACTCGAAGCTCGACTCGAAGGGAGGAATGAAAACGTTAACCCTTCTGTAGCTGAATGGGTCACCAAAACAGTTCCAGGCCCACCACCGGAAGAATGCCATCCCGAAATAAGTGAACAGCCTCGAAATGAAATACAACTGCTTTGTGAAACCATTTCAAATGTTGTGAAAACCATTGCACCATCTGGCCATGACAAATTATTGACCAGATATATCGTTGATAAGGACTTCCCAGTGTTTGATGGCAACCCCGAGGATTGGCCTCTGTTCTTTCAGAGATTTCAACAAATTTCCAAAATGTGTAATTACAGTGCAGATGAAATTCTCGTTAAATTGCAAAAGTGTCTAAAAGGTGAAGCAAAGTCTGCTGTTTCGGGAATGTTATTGACTTCCAATAATGTGAATCTGATCATGGACACATTACGTTTGCGATTTGGAAGACCCGAGTACGTCATAGAAGTCATGATTACGAAGATCCGAGCTATTCCGGCGATAAAAGACACTGACATCGAGAAGCTTATACATATTTCAAATGAAGTTAAAAATCTTGTAGCCACCATGAAATCTTTACTGTCTCTGGATTATCTCAAAAACCCACAACTGCTGAAGGATCTTGTAGCTAAGTTGCCTGATATATTGAGACTGAGATGGGGCGAAGTTATAATGGAAAAAGGTGGTAGTGTGTGTTTAGAAGACTTCTCAACCTGGATCAGTAAAATGGCCACAGCCGCGTCTCTTGTGAGTTTTCCCAAACAATTCACCCCGATAGAAAGCAAATTCAGTTCGAGAAGACAATTCAATTCTAAGAGAACTGAGACTATCCTCAGTACGGATGTTCAAAGAAAAGCTACATGTTTTTATTGTGAAAATACTCACAAAGAACATGTCTGCCCCACAATGAAGACAGATGATGTTGAAAAAAGGTGGAAAGTTATAACAGACAAAAAGTTATGCTTTTGTTGCCTTGGGAAGGGACATCATAAGTTCAAATGCAAGAGAAGGAAGGAGTGTACAGTAAGCGGTTGCAAATTCTTCCACCATCCTCTCCTTCACAAGAGTTACCCAGCAGAAAACGAAGTTGTTAGTGAGACAGCTACGCCCGAGACAAGAAATGAAGTAGTCTGTTCTATGAAACATGAAACTCGAAAAGTTTTATTGAGAATGCTACCCGTGAAAGTTTATGGACCTAACGGAGCACTGCAGACCCTGGCAATATGTGATGAGGCTTCAACAGTTACTTTGGTTGATGAAAGCATTTCAAAAAAACTTGGTATTCGTGGTGAAAAAGAAGCACTCTGTATACAATGGACAAATGGTATAACTTCTACTCTTGACAGATCAGAGAAAGTAACCATGGAAATTTCTGGATTGTGGGAACACTCTGTTGTATACAAAATGAATAATGTCAGAACTGTCGAAAAGTTGTCATTGCAGTCACAAACAGTGAATATGGAAGAATGGAAAAAGTTTGAATACCTGAAGAACCTTCCAATCAGGAGCATCAACAATGAGAAACCCATGATACTCATCGGGCAAGATAACATCAACTTAATAGTACCTAGACAAATACGTTGTGGCACAGAAGTATCTCCAATCGCCACAAAATGCAAATTAGGATGGTCTCTTCATGGTTCCAGTTCAGAAATAAATAGAAGCTTTACAGACCATACTCTTCATATTTGTAACAGACAAGAAACCGACGATTACCTTCAAGAACTTGTAAAACAATCATTTTCGACAGAATCTTTTGGAGTTTCAGTTACACCAACGAAACCTAGTAAAGATGACATGATGGCCATGAAAATTATGAAGGAAACATCCACAAGGGTAGGAAACCGTTATGAAATTGGTCTCCTCTGGAAATCTGACAATGTGGTACTGCCTGAAAGCAAGTCAGTGGCTTTTCAACGTCTGAAATGCATGGAAAGAAAATTCCGAAAAGATAACAATTTTGCCCTCGAGTATTGTCAGAAAATCCAAAATTATATCGAGAAAGGATATGCTAGAAAACTGACCCCAGAAGAGGCTGAAATTGAAAATCCCAGAACGTGGTATTTGCCTCATTTTTCTGTTGTAAATCCTAACAAGCCAGGAAAATTCAGATTGGTGTTTGATGCAGCGGCCAAATCCAACGGGACCAGCTTGAACGACAATTTGTTGAGTGGGCCAGATTTACTACAACCCCTTACATCGGTTTTGTGGAAATTCAGACAACGAAAATTTGGATTCTGCGGAGACATACGTGAGATGTTCCACCAAGTAAGGATTCGTGAAGCTGATAGATGTGCTCAACGATTCCTGTGGAGAGGCCTTGATTTCAGTCGGCCACCCGATACCTTCGAGATGTTAGTTATGACATTTGGTGCCACATGCTCGCCTGTCTGTGCACAATTTGTAAAAAATTTGAATGCTACCGAAAATTCCCCTTCAGAAGAAATTTCCAACGCCATAATCTCAAAATTTTACGTTGACGACTACCTTGATTCTGTCGATACTGAAGTAGAAGCCCTAAGCAAGATCAAGAAAATATGTGAAGTCCATGAACTTGGAGGATTTCAACTAGTAAATTGGTCTTCTAATTCCATTTTGGTGCGTGAGAGTCTTCCTGATGGAATTTTGGAAAAAAAGAAGTTATACGACGGCAACAATGCAGCTCAAAGAGTTTTAGGAGTTTGGTGGGATTCTACTACTGATGAAATCCTGATCAATCCAAATTTCGACATGGATTTGCAAATGAATTTCACGAAACGGCAGGTTTTGCGGTACGTCATGTCTGTTTTCGATCCTCTTGGACTTCTTGCATTCTTCACTGTCAGGGCCAAAATTCTAATGCAAAATATATGGCGTGAAGGCATCGGTTGGGATGAAGATCTACCATCAAAACTTCAGAAAGTTTGGAAAAATTGGATGAACGAGCTGAAGAACGTGGCAGAAATCAAAATTCCTAGATGTTATTCCATGGAAATTCCATTTTCATTGAAAAATGAACTTCATACATTCTGCGACTCAAGTCAAAAGGCCTTTGCAGCAGTTGTTTATTTGAGAGTCGTCACAGAAAGTACCATTGATGTCAGTTTGGTAACCGCAAAATCCAGAGTTGCTCCTCTCAAACAGTTATCGATTCCTCGCCTTGAACTACAGGGCGCTGTAATGGCCAGCAGACTTTCTTGTGCAGTAAAAAAAGACCTAGAAATTGAAATTCATCGACAAATCTTCTGGACAGACTCGAAATGTGTGTTACTCTGGATAAGAAGCGATGGAGGACAATACAAGCAGTTTGTTTCACACCGTGTGGGGAAAATTCAGGAGCTAACGAACACAGAAGATTGGAAATGGGTACCAACGAACGAAAATATAGCTGACGAAGCAACAAGGGAGACGACCAAACAGAAATTTGATGTCCTGAGAAAAAAGTGGTTTTATGGTCCTGAATTTCTGCAGAAATCCGAAGAAAATTGGCCAAATGAAATAAACAGAAACCACGAAGAAATTCAAACGAGTATGTTGGAGGTAAAAAACGAATTTGTGGCTGTCGTAACCCAGGAGATCAAAAATTCCCTTCTTGATATCAATAAATTCTCAAAATGGATTCGATTAATCAGGACTACGGCGTGGATCATGAGATTTTCTAAAATGTTGATTCAGAAAATCAGGAAATGTCAAACAGAATCGGAATTCTATGAAAGTCTTTCAGTTCTAGAATTGCAAGGAGCTGAAAAATACTGGATTAAAGAATCCCAACGTCAAAGTTTCCATGAAGACATCCAAAGACTAGAGGAAAGCAAGCCACTTCATAGAAAAAGTCGACTCAAACAATTAAGTGCAGTTCTGGATGAAGAAGGAATGTTGATTTTAGATGGGAGAACAAATTTAGCATCCTGTTTGGAATATCATACTAAAAAACCATTTATTCTCAGTCCGAAAAATAGGCTTACTGTACTTCTTCTGCAGTTTTACCATGAAAAGTTTCGACATCAAGGAGTAGAAATGATCCTGAATGAAATTCGGCAAAAATTCTGGATAATCGATGGAAGAGCAGCGGTCAAGTCTACATTTGCTCATTGTCTGAAATGTAGAAAATCAAGGGTCAAGCCTTCTGTTCCAAGAATGGGTCAGTTACCTACCGTCAGACTGACTCCCGGAATTCGTCCCTTCGTCAATGTTGGCATGGATTACTTCGGACCGCTTCAAGTGATTATCGGCAGACGCAGAGAAAAGAGATGGGGAGTCTTATTTACTTGCATGGCTGTGCGAGCTATACATCTGGAGGTGGCACATAGTTTAACAACCGACTCAGCAATAATGGCCATAAGGAGGATGATGGCTCGTAGAGGAAAACCATCAACCATCATGTGTGACAATGGTACCAATCTGAGGGGAGCCTCCGAAGAACTTCGCAGGGCCTTAACAGAAATAAATCGATCTGCTTTGAATGATGCTATGGTCTCTGAAGAGATATGTTTCAAATTTATTCCACCCGCTTCACCTCACATGGGTGGTGCCTGGGAGCGCCTGATTGGGGTAGTGAAGAAAACCATTGGAGCTGTCTTATATGCTCAGTCACTCAGAGACGAAACCCTACTGACTCTATTCGCAGAAGCAGAAAATATTATTAATAGCCGTCCATTGACCCATGTTTCAGTAGACCCGACCGATCCAGAAGCCCTCACTCCTAACCATTTCTTGATAGGCTTTGGAAATCAAAATGGGGCACCATGTGATACGAATTCAGGAAAGATTCTTAAAAAAGAATGGAGAAAATCTCAGATATTAGCGGACCTTTTCTGGTCTAGGTGGGCTAAGGAATATCTCCCGAAATTGACCAAGAGATCAAAGTGGACAGATGATAATGAGCCAATAAAAGAGGGTGATATCGTCATTATTGTAGATGACAAAGCAGCTAGGAACTCATGGACTATGGGAAAAATTGAAAAACTGTTTCCCGGACCAGATGGGCGAGTGAGAGTTGCTGATGTGAAAACAAGAAGTTCCACTTATCGTCGGCCAGTCACTAAGTTATGTAGATTGAAACTGGATGGTGAAGAAAAAGAAGTTTCCTCACCGGGAAGAGAAATGTGATGTCTTGTTTTACATCCTGTATTTTATATAATAAAAAAAACAAGATAATTTGTTGACAAAAAATGATATTCAGTTGTTAATATATGTAATTGGAAGAAACGAAATACATACGATTCAATTTGGAAAAGAACCTTTAATCAGACGAAATATTTGAGAACCTTTAATCAGACGAAATACTACTATAGTCACTCACATATAGTTTTCGTTTTTGGAATTTGGTTATTTCTCTGATTTCTCATCGGAATTCCTTCTGCAATAAGAGCTAATAGAAATATACCTGAAATTTCTAGAATAATGCAAGAAGATTGGATTCATGCAATCAATTGGGAGGACTGGTCTGACATGCTGACGATCGTGTGTGTTGTAGACATTTTCAATCTATTAGCAGTATTAGCTTGTATTGCAGAATAAGTGGCAGAAGGCAGAAGAAATTTCAATAAGGAATGACAACATTTCATAATGATAACTATGTGAGATTACTATTTACCTGAAAAATCATATTCCCTAGTCTCTTGCTGCATTTTTTGTGCATTGTACAACAGCACAATGCGAAGGCATGCTTGAATTAATGAATAACGCAAGAAACACGATTCGTATGCCAAAATATTGTGAAAAACTATTTCAATCCTTTGATTCCTCTGTAACCAAATAAAAAAGTGAGGTTGTGTTTCAATAATTCACAGAAGAATGAGGTTGTGTTTCAATATTTTGCCTCCAGGGTCGGTCATCGTGCACGCGACCTATGGACTCGTCAATCGGTAGAGTAACAGGATGGAAAGAGTCTCACCTAGGAACCAGGTGATGTTTGCTACTGGCCGTCCATCTCTTACTATACAGGATGCTTCTAGTTGATCATTGACTTTGTATACCCTCAAGGAATCCGTTCCTCTGCTCAAGTCGAGCTCAGGAAGTTTGGGCGGCTCTAAAAATAAAGGACAAGATGAAAAATAAATAGGAGTAGTAACATCATAGTGAGGAATGCTTCTTCATCTAGAAAAATGTTCTTACTCGCAACAATGAGCTGCATGGTTCCCACAGATTCCGTGGGTTCGCTGGGTATACCGAGGGTACATTTGATGGGTCCGTTGTCCCTTTCCTCGACCCTTTGGATCGTGAACCCACATTGGCCTGCATCTAGCCCTTCTCCATAGTAAGTCACCTTGAAGAAATATCGAAATGTCAATCCTTTGGTAGAATATTTCCGAAATTCGTTTATTCCAAACTTGGCATTACCGGCTGTGATGGTTTGATTATAGGTTAAACTCTTCTTTTAATATTATTCAACTGTTAACACAAATGCTTGGGTATCGTAACGTATAGTAAACTGTTTTGTATATAATTATAAACGTTATTTTGAGACTGAAAAAGTCGAACATAATTACAACACAAGAAACAAAGATTATCTGTTGCCTCCTCAACACTCATCTGCTCGGTATCAGAAAAGTTTGTTTTATATACTTTTTACGTTTATGTACCTGTGAAATCTTGTAAATTATTATGTTTGTTTTATACCTACGATATTTATTTTATTTATGTACTTTAGCCTAATTTTGACGTTTTTTTCTTAAACTGTATGTTTTTGAAACAAATAGATCTATCTATCTAATACAACGGAATAAACGACGAATGTATACGGTGTTCCTGGTGATTAAGTAGACTACCACTGAATTAAGATACCATCCTGCTACCATTGATTATAAATGTAACTCTCATTGATATTTACCTCACTGTTGGACGACAAAGCTTGCTTGTTGAGATTGAAGGTTCTGGAACCAGGAAGTTCTATCCTGCAGTACTGCAAAGGTACCCCCACACGACATAAAAATGTGGCATTTTGGCCAGGAAGTACTAATAACTCCCTTGTTGAAATTTCCACTTGGGCTGCCAGCAATCCTGAAAAAAGAAAGAGAGAGAAAATAAAACATGATGCAAAAAATATTTCACACCTTGAAGACAATTATTATTGATCGTTTCAATCCATAAAGTTTCCAATCAAACATAATATGACACGGTATTTGTTTTGTTACGCATACATTTTTATTTGATTATTTGGTACAGGATTATTTCAAATTCATCAGACAGACGTTTTTGTGAAGTTATCCATGGAAAATAATCGTGGGCAAATATGATATTTAGCTGTTGAAAAATACTCGTTTCGTTCCGGATTCCGATGACAAATGGATATAAATGTTTTGCATATTCTGAATATGCATGTCTGCGATGAAGCGAACACGAAATACTTTTCGAGGATATTTTAAATTTGGTTTGTGGCGAAAAAAAAAATTCATTAAATAGGAAATGACTGCGGGTTATTCATGAATTCGTGCTATCTCGAATAATGAAAATACCAGAAAAGAGCTGATACGACCTGATCAACGTTTTATTTTGGATTTGACGATCAGTAGAAATGACTATACCGGGTGACACAGGAGAAATGTAGCAGCCTGTAGTTTTTTTATTTGAAGAGATAAAATTCAGAAATTCACAGGGGTTATGAAATAAATGGTAGCGCACTTTACAAACTTAACGACAAATTTTTTCAACCACCTGTTTGACCGGAAGTGACCCCAACTTTTTTTTTAAATGTCACCCTGTACATTTCTTCAGTCTATATATTTCGCCTTGAAATTCTCTATCCAACCATGTAACACCAAGTGGCATTTATTTCTTAATTCGCTGTTGAATTGCTTTTTATTCAAAAAGAATAAGTTGGCTGTGACATGAATTCGATGATATATCGACACTTGGTAGGCTTTGAAATTTAAAGATCATTAGTAAACCCATATTATTCAAAATGTTTTGATATTATCAAAAAATCACACTTGGGGTCTATCGGGAATGATTACAGAGATATAGGGTGTTCAAAATCGAGATTTTTCAACTTTAGGATTCGTTTGTGTCGAAACTATTCATTATCGACCAAAACGGCTCACATGTCCCTATCTCAACTTTTGATTTACTATTTACTGATATATTCAATCGGAAAAGATACAAGGTGATCAGAATTCTGAATCATGAACTACCTTGTATCTGTTCCGATTAACTATCAGTAAATTGTGAATCAAAAGTTGAGATAGGAACATGCGTGAGCTGTTTCAACCGATAATGAATAGTTTCGATACAAAAATCCTGAAGTTGAAAAATCTCGATCTTGAACACCCTATATCTCTGTTATAATTTTCGATAGACCCCAAGTGTTATACATCGATGGAATCAGTTCTTCAGGGAGAATCTAAAAATGCGATGAAATACAGGGTGTTCCGTTCGAAATATCAATGTTGCCACTACTTTCTAGTAGAAACGGCAACACTGCATTGTCGAAAATATTTCAAATAAAGAAAGCGTTTTCTGAAATATCAGCATGCATATTTTCATGAATTTCTCACTACTGATTTTCGATCTAAACATAGTATAAGCTCGTCGTGATATATACCCTGTATACAATTTGTTGAAAATGATATTTGTGTCTACTTATGAAACCACTCTCACCAATATCATCATGAGTTAACGCAATCTATACAGGGTGATTCAAAAGTATTTCGTTTCCAAGGTGTCATTTTATTTCTTTTTTTTTTTTCAAATAACTTCCGGAATAATGACCTTAATGAAACAAAATTTAGTATTGAGAGAGGTTATTTGAGGTATCGAATTCGAACTTTTATAGCACTTCTCGGTTTTTATATCCCTTTGCTTAAATATAATACTTTTTTCTCTTGTACCTATAATAAATAAATATTTTTCGTTTTTCTAAAGAGCGAATCCGAAAAAATTGCAACAATGCATGATGTATCCCTCTCTCAATATTCTAACGTCTATTCCTATTGTATCGAGCTCCTTTTTTATGAAACCACCTTTGTGACGGGAAATCGTTATTCTCGGATAAGAAATTGCTCGATTCCGGAAGATCGCTTTGATGGCACCAGAGATCCGTGTTAATAAAAGTCAATTTAGAGGTGAAAAATGTCTTGTGCAAATTGAAAGAGAGGAATTCGGAAAATGAGCGCCGTTTTTCACCGAATTAGCAGCTTGTTAATTCAATTAGAACAAGGGATTGTTCTTTGCCGGATCTCATCATCATCAAGTAAGCTTTAAATCGGAACATTAGGTTAACAGGGTAGCTCTCCGTTTTTTTCAACCCCAACGTTTTTCAGAAGGTTTGGTGGATGAGAAAAATATTGACCAGCTTGATCACTGGAATTGACACCACTTGACATTTATTCGTACGACCGTCATTGGGCCAAAGTTCCCATGAACAGATCTTGGAAGATTATACAGGGTAACTCACGGTCGATGGTACGTTAGACGTTTATGGAGAACGGGATATAGGATCATTCTGAAATCTTGGTTACCAACGTAGTTGCTCTTGGTCTATCGATCTGAAATATTTTCAGCTCTGCGGCGTTGCCGCTTCTATCGAAAAGTAGCAACAACTTTGTTATTTTAAATGGAACATCCTGTATTTTATTGCATTTTCAGATTCTCTGAGAAGAGCTGATTTCATCGATGTATCACACTTGGGGTCTAGCGGAAATGATAACAGAGATATAGGGTGTGAAAAATCGACATTTTTCAACTTTAGGAATTTTTTTTGTCGAAACTATTCATTATTGGTCAAAACGGCTTACATGTTTCTATCTCAACTTTCGATAAACTATCTACTGATATTTAATTGGGACATATACCGGGTGATCAAGATTCTGAATTCTGCACCACCCTGTATTTGTTTCAATTAAATGTCAGTAGATAGTTGATCAGAAGTTGAGATAGGTACATGTGAGCCGTTTCGACCAATAATGAATAGTTTCGACAAAAAAAATTCCTAATATTTTTCACACCCTATATCTCTGTAATCATTTCCGCTAAACCTCAAGTAAGATACATCGATGAAATCAGCTCTTCAGAGAAAATCTGAAAATGCAATAACATACAGGGTTTTCTATTTAAAATAACAAAGTTGTTGCTACTTTTCGCAACGCCGCAGAGCTGAAAATATTTTAGATCGATAGACCAAGAGCAACTACGTGAGTAACCAAGATTTCAGAATGATCCTATGTCCCGTTCTCCATAAACGTCTAACGTACCATGGACCGTGAGTTACCCTGTATAGAAGATAATCAAAAATTATCCTCAATAAAGTTAAGTTCAGCTCTCAAATAAATTGTGTTTAGAGATTCCGAAATTTTTACACATTTTTAACTAGAAATCTGGATTTTAATAGGTATATTCACTGAAAAATGTTATGTCAAGTTCAACATTTACACTTCTATTGAATAAATATAGCTATAAAGTTTCATCATAATTATATTCATGTCATTCCATAGAAATAATGGTGAATATGATGAATGGACGAATGGATGAAAAGTCAATGAGGTAAATAATCTGATCATCATTAAATTGTTGAATATTTGCGAAACAAATTCTATGAAAAATAATTGAATGTATGGCGAAAGAGCTACAAATTTGTACACCAATTTCAAATGAACTATAAATTTAAAACATATTTCGTTGTGGATCAATAAACTCGTTCAGAATGGAATGTGTCCAGGGAAGATTTCGAAATCTGGTGTGAATTATGTGGAGGAACTGATTGAATTCAAATAAATGGTGGCATCACTGAAACTCTCACTATATAATTCATCAACTCACAGTTGAAGAATCTCTCATTTCTAATAATCAATGAACAAACAGAAATTCTAATAAATGGCGAGAGCGCGAACAGAATGCACTTATTTCTAATCTTGTCATTTCTGGTCGATCAGGGCTCTAATAATTGAGTAGGTAGTCTCAGAAGATGCTATCAAATCCGATCCTATTGTTTCTGTGACAAAAATCAATCGATTTGAATACACAATGCAAGCAATAAAACAACCACCGATTTATTTATACATATATCATCTGAAATATTATGAAAGTATCACTTAGAGATGAGGATTGTCTCACAACCAGACATCAGCTGCTTTTGGATATATGAATTATCATGATTTGTTATATTCGGTATAGCAGGATTTGTCACAATAGGATTTTTATTAATCACTAAACATGCATTCACAAAATTGAGAACGAAAATGTGAATGAAAGAACGAAAATGTTAATAAATGGCGAGAGCGCACAGAAATTTGCTAACATTTTTAATCGAGTTATTCTGATGAATTCTGATGAAATAAAATATTCGCTGATTATATGGATTTCTCACAACATGATTCCTAATGCATCCTGAATATGCATTTACGCTTTGAGAACGATCATTTTACTAAATGGCGAGAGCGCACAACAATTTTCAATTTCTAATTTTCTGATGTATCAGTGAACTCCGTCAAATGGAACATATTCAGAAGATGTCTTGCATATCAGTAGTATGTAGGCATGATTCATCATAACAGGCTTCATCATAATCACTGAATATACATATACGCATTTTAGAATGAAAACTCTAATAAATGGCGAGAGCGTACACAAATTTGGAATTATTTCTGATCGACCTATTACTCGTGGTGTGATGAATTCTGTGGAAATAAAAAAGTCCCGAAAACTCTTTGGGATCCACTTATATGAATCCTGTAGGGAAACTGATTTATTTGAATACACGGCGGAAACATTGAAAGAACATCCTACTAGCTCATAAGTCTCGTAGAAATAATTCATTTACAGATGAAAAATGTCCCAATTCTGGACATTAACTATACAAAAGATATAGTCCAGCATTATTCATCACAATAGGATTCTCAATATACACGGAAAATGCATATACGCAATTGAGAACGAAAATTCGAATAAATGGCGAGAGCGTACATAAAATGCACTTATTTCTAATAATTCTTATCGACCAATTTCCTGGTGGATCGATTAATTCTTCCAGAATAAGTGGTCCAAAAAAATGTCTGATCATATGGATTCTGTGAGAAAGATTGACCAAATTGT